CCGGGAAGGGGCGGGGTGGTGAGAGACGGCAATGGGGGAGGCTGTTGGTGGGGAGTCCAGGGGGGGTGGCTGTCCTGCTGTCAGGGTACGGCTTCTCCCGATGGCTTCAGCCTTTGCCATCAGCCCCTTCCCCACCAGCACTGCCAGGTCTGAGCCCAGTGCGGGTGTCCGGCAGCCCCTCACAGACCCTTCCCCAGGTCCTGCTGGCCTGCTCACAGCTGGAGAGCTGGGGAAGTTGTTCCCACTCCACTCTCAGGTCCTTTGTTTTGCTGCGGCATCCCGGAGAGGCAGGATCCGAGCAGAGGCAACAAGAGGAAACGAGCTTCCTGCCTGCTCCCAGACCTGCTGGCAGAAAGCAAGGACATCCTGCCGTGGCCAGGCTGGGCAGGGACAGCCAAGCCTGCGGGGAGGGAAGCGTACTGGGCTGGCTGATTTATGCAGCGCAGAGGCGTCTACACCGCTCTCCTACCGGGACGGCGCCAGCCAAAGCCCCGGGCAGCCTTTGCCTGGGGTCCCACGCCGTGCCCGGCCTGGCCAGCCTGTTCACGGGGCCGTGGAGGCGGCGATGGACCCGGGCGTTGGGCTGGGGCTGGCATGACGGAGCTGGAGCAAGCGGGGAGGAACTGAGGCAGCCAGGAAACGGCTGGAACACACCCCATCGGCTGCTTTTCCAGGTGCGCCCTGAGCACGCAAGGCTTCTCCCAGCCATGGGCCACCACCAGCCAGCCCTGGACACCCAGGGCTTCAGGAGCCCGCCGACCTGGAGAGAATTGAGATGCTCAGGGCGTTGGGAGCCTGCTGCCCATGGAGGGGACGAGGTGGCCCAAGGCTCTGGGATCCCACTGCCCAGGGAGCAAACGGAGTCATCCCGAGCTGCAGCGAGCAGGACAGCTCGTGCTGCAGCACACAGGGCTGCGGTCCTTCCCCACTGACATCTCCAGTAGCACCTCTCAGACTCCCTCCACCCAAGGGCCACCTGAGTGAGGCAAGATGACAGTAGAAGCTTGCTCGCAGCCAGCTGAAAGCCTGGCCAAGGCTCTGTGTGTTTTCTCATGTGCCGGCACCACTCAATTTCCGCGCTGTGCGCAGAGGGACACGGCCACAGCCTGTTCTGTCAGTCTGCAGCCACTTCCAGCTCCTGGGGCTCTGTTCCCCGGCACGCTGCAGAGGAGCACCCTGCCACGCTGGTGCACGTCACAACACATGCACACACATACTCCCTTCCCAGCTGCCCTGATGGGGAAACTGTGGCACAATCACATGCACATTCCCAGCTGGGGCTGGCAGAGAGCAAAGGATTGTGAATTGGGGTTCACAGGGAAAACCATTTTTTGACACCCTCTTCTGGACCAAAAAAAAAAGCTTTTTAATGTTTCTGATGTATTGAAAATTCATCAGGTCCCAGAGGTTTTTATTCAGATGGATGCTCTTGAATGGGGTCGGGACTGGTTTCCCTGGCCAGTGCAAAGTCCAGGACTATGTACAGCCATGCCAGGCCCTGCCACGATGCCATGAAAGCCTGCAGAGCCCCAGGCAGCTGAACCACAACATTCCAGCACAAGAAATTGATCATTTTTTTGGCAAAACTGACCTTACAACAGCAACAAAAGCCTGGCTAGCTCTCCTCTCTACCCCATGAAGAGTGGTGAAAGAAATGGTGAATACAAGCTCGGTCCCAGGCTGTGGCAATGCCTGAGCCTTACTTGTATCCTTACCAGGACTGATATCCAGGCATCCTTCACCTGCCTAAGCACCCACCTGAATATCCACAACCTCCCAGTTGCACCTTTACTAACCCAGCTCGGTACAGGCGTGGGTGCAGCAGGAAAGGCAGCGGGCGCTGCCATGTGCCTCCAAGCCTGGGTTGGGCTGTGGGTACCAGGGGCTGCTGGCCCGAGCTTGGACTGGTCCTGGGTCAGTGTCCCTGGCCGGGGGTGAATCCACCTTGCCGGCCAACAGCTGAGACTTGGGAAGCACTCTCCTCCATGCTGCCAGATGCAGTTGTGATTTATACAGGTTTAAAACACTGACAAGTCCTTGGGACTTCTCTGGCCGTGTCTTTGTGTTTGAGCTTTGCAGAGTTTCCGCAGAAAACTGTGAATGTTAGAAATAAGGGCTGTCCCTTGGGTTTAATTCTTTTCAGTCACCAGGGCTTAAGGCCAGAAGAGTCTGACTGGTGCAGGGAACAACTCAACACTTCTTGTTCAAAGGCTGCTGTTGAGTTTTAGCCTGGAAACATCTCTGAGCTGCCACAGTTCTGTGCTCCAGCACCAATCATAGAATCATAGAATCCCAGGTTGGAAGGGACCTCAAAGACCACCTGGTCCAACCTTTCTTGATAAAATCACAATCTAGACAAGATGATCCAGCACCCTGTCCAGATGAGTCTTAAAAGTGTCCAGTGTTGGGGAATCCACCACTTCCCTGGGGAGATTATTCCAGTGGATGATTGTTCTCATTGTGAAATGTTTTCCTCTTGTTTTGGAGGTTGGTAGCAGATGTTGCCAAATCTAGGCAACCCTTCAGGGGCACTGGGTGGTTTGAGGCCCCCCCCCCAGTTTCGCAGCTCTGCCCCAGTGCTAGGGTGGCAGCAGGGTCTGGCACCTGCAAAGCTGGGGTAACATCACTTTCCCAAGCTCATTTTTCCTCAACTCCTCCTTTACTTTTTTTTTTTTTTTTTTTTTTTTTTTTTCCCTGTCTGTGCAAGGAGGAAACAAGAATTGCTGTTTGGCAATGGTGACATTTTTGTCGGATGTCCAAGAGCAGGAGTGAGGGACCTGGATGTGGGTTCTTCATGGACCTCCGAGCCTGGACACGGGCCATGAGCTCTGCAGTGCAGCCGGCAAGCAGACACCAGTGGGAAGTCACTCACTGCTCCAGAACTTACCTTTCCAGATCTGGATGGAGAAGGCAAGCTGCACAGCTACGGACGACCCAATCTGATTTCTCCGCCAAGCAGTCAGTGAAATTACAAGCGTGGTGCTGTTCTAGACCTGCTTCACAGACAGAACAGGGGCATGAAATCACAAGTTCATTACCACAGGATGCCGGAGAGGCCAAGTATGTAAATGGTTGAAGAGGAACGAGGTCTGTTCGGTGGAGGTAGATCCATTAGAGCTATTAAAGTACTTCCGTCCGGATGCAAACGCTTTCTCGGGAAGTCCCCAAGCTGCCAGCCGGCAGCTGGGCGGGACGCCGGGAAGCACATCTTGTTTCTCCTGCTCTTCCCGTGAGTAGCATTACAGAAGCGATGGCCATGGAAAAATACCCAGGGGGGTTCAGCAGCTGAAAAGGAAAGAAAAAGAAGCAAAAATCTTTGCTGAGAGTTCCAGCATTGAAAGGGGTTAGAGCAGTCAGTGAGGGCGAGCTGTAAGGTGTGGAACTGCCAGGGGTCTCTGCAGGACGGAGGATGGCCCAGACCTCAGCGGCTGAGCAATCGGTGCACAAAGCAGGCGGGGAAGAAAACTGGCAAGAAAAGGAGACAAACAGCCTGCTGCCGGGACAAGGGAGGGCTGCCAAAAACCCAGCGGGGCCAGGCCTGGGGAGCCCAGCCAGGGCAGGCGGCACAGGGCTCCCAGCCATGGGTGGGACGGGGGCAGGCGGTGGGGGGGGGCGCTGGGGGCAGGCTGGGGGGTGGCTGTGCTGGGAGAGGGACTGGTGGGGCGGGGATCTGGACCCCAGCCACCTGCAGGCCCCCAGCCAGCAGCAGTGTCGAGCTCAGGGCAGAGGATCCCCCGGTGCTGGGGTGACATGGGCAGGGGATCCCCCCTTTCTCTAGGGTGACCGCCCCCGAGGTGAGCAGGGCAGGGACATCCCCGTCCCCATGGGTCACTGGAGTAGGGGCACCCCATCCCCAGGAGTAACCAGGGCAGGGGATCCCCCATCCCTGGGGCAAGGGGGGCAGGGGACACCTCCTTTCCTGGGCTCACCGGGACAAGGGACGTGCCTTCCCCAGGGTAACGGGGACAGTGGACACCCCCCTTCCCGGGCTCACCAGGACACCCCTTCCCCTCAGGGGGCCGGGACGGGGGATGTCCCACCCCGGGGGGACGCAGGGACGCCCTCTCCCTCGAGAAGGGGGCGGTGGGGCCCCCGTGCCGGGGGCGAGCGGGGCTGCCGACGGGGGGGGGGGGGGGAAGCGGCCCGGGGGCGGCGCCCAGCCCGGCCGGGGCCCGGGGGCGATCCCCGCCCGCCCCGCCCGCCCCGCCCCGCCCCGCCCCCCGCCCCGCCCCGGGCAGCGCTGCAGCCCAGAGCCGCCGGGCCCGGGACGGCGGCCCCGCGCTGGGGCCCGGCTGCAGCCCAGACACCCGGGGGGGCAAGGTGAGGGGCGGCGGGGCCGGGACGGGCCGGGCCGGGACGGGCCGGGCCGGGACGGGGCGGGGGTCCGGCCCCAGCGGCGGCTCCGGGGCGGAGGCTCGTCCCAGTGGCGGGGCCCCCCCATCCGCCGCCGCCGCCCGGGGGCCGCCGAGCGGCCGCTCCGGAGCCCCCGCGGCGGGGTGGGGCGCCCGCGGCTCCCCGCGCCTTGGGGGCTCCGCCCGGGCCGGGGCTTCTGCTCCCACCCGGGAGGTGCTGGGGCCGGGGCCGGGGCCGGGGCCGGGCTGGGCCGCCCGGCTCGGCTGGCGCGGACGGGGGAGTCCCCCCGGGGTGTCCTGGGCGGGGGGCGGGCACCCTAACGTGCAGGGGCGAGCAGGGTGCCGCGGGTCTGCTCGGGCTGAGGGTGCTGTGGAGCACCCGAGGGTGCGGGGGACCGACGGGCTGGGGGTGCTGCGGGCACCCCGGGGTGCTGGACGCCTGCTGGGCTGGGCTCGTGGCAGGGCACCCCGGGCTGCTGCAGGCCCCTCTGGGGTGCCAGAGGGCACACGGGGTACTGCGGGGCTCAGGGTGCTCCCTGCACGCACCCGGGGAATGTGTCGCGGGGCGCTGTGCGTGTGTCCCAACGTGTATCCCGACAACACGTATCCCAACGCTTATCCCATCCTGTGCACCATGGGCGGGAATTTAACCCTTTCATCCCTGAGCACCTCCTCGCAGCGGGGCGATCCCAGGCTGTCAGGGCTTGTTGCCAGCTCCGTGTGTTGCCACCAGCCCCGAGAGAATCGGGGAGGTGTCAGTGGAAAGTGCTGGTGGGCTCTTGTGGTGATGGTGCGAGACAAGCGGGAGATGTTTTCTAGTGGAGATATAGGAGCCCTATAGAGCTATAGGTGTGGCAGGGCACGTAGAGCTGATCCCCGTGTGACTATGCGTACAGACCAAGCGCCTGTTGTCCAGGTGTCGTGTGAGCTTGGGGAGGTCCCCAAGGTGCTGGAGTGGGTGCAGAGCCTGAGCAGCCCCCATGGCCTCCCAGTCACCGAGGCCGATGATGACAACAACTCCAGAAATAACAGCCCAACCCTGAAATTAGGCTGTTGAGAAAATCGAAGTGTTTCCCTTTCCCTCTCTGGGTCAGCGCCAGCGCACCAACCCGCATGGGATCCGGCTCTTCCAGGAGCAGCCCCAGCCTGGACGGCGTGGCCAAGGTGGCCTGGGCGAGCGGGCACAGGGACAAGGGGTGGCACGGGCAGCAGGTACAGGCAGGGGATGGGGCTGGGATGGGCGTCTGGGAGGGTGTGATGAGCCCCAGATACCTCCTGTCCACACCCAGTCTGCAGCACCAGCAGGTGACACTGCAGGTGACTGGGCATGCGTGGTGGCTGACTCCATGCGAGGAGCCTGAATCCCAGCAGGTCGCTGGCAGCGGAGGAAGCCGTGTGCTTGCTCAGTGGTTTCCCCTTAACTTTGGAACAGCCTCAGCCCTGAGTTTCAGGGCTTATCGCCTGCACACAGCTTCGAGGGAAGCATGCCTGGCCGAGATAAATCAAGTCGTGCTGGCCAGGGCTGCTCTGGACTCTGTTCTTCTCACATTCCTCATGACCTCAGTATTTTGGCGCGGGAGGAGAGCCCTCCCTGTGTCCAGCCCTGGCCACGCCAGTGGAGTGGTTTGGGCTGCATGGCAGTGCATAGCTGAGCCAGGGCAGGGGCTGCCCCACTTGTGCCCCTGGCAAATCAAAGGGCCCAAAGGAGTCCAGAGCTTTAAAAATAGCTCCCCCAGGCCTGTCCCCTGCCAGCCTGGTGGCTTGGGGACCCAGAGTGGGAATCGCCCTATGGACCACAAGGCTGGGGGTCCCAGGGGGCTGGCTGGGCCTGGAGCGTGGGTACAGGGTGGTACCTGAGCTGTGCCGAGGTGCCCAGGCTGCCCCATCCCTCACATGGCTTTTTATTGTAATTGAGTGGAGCAGCTCCCGCGCTGGCCCCAGGTTTCCTGTGTTGGTGTTGGTGTGACAGTAGGAGGGGGAAAGAGAGGGGCGAGCCCAGGGTGAAGCATAGCCCTGCCTCTACAGGGACGATTGAGTCCCTTCACATCCTCCTCTTGCTCTGAGCCCCCCCAGCAGCACTGCGTTTTGTCCCATCCTGGTTTTCTGTGGAAACACCGGAGCTAGAAACTCTCATTTCTTCTGAAGGAGGCTGGGACTGTGTGGGGTCCCCTGCCTCTGGCACCCAGGGGTGCCTGTGCCCAGCCCCCCAGCACCAAGCTCCAGTACCCGGGGGGAGTGGCCAAAGTTGCTGAAAAATGGCCTTTTCCTCCAAAGTGACCGGCACAGTCTTCCCCGTCGGGACTTCAGCCCAGGTGGAGGGCGGCTTCTCTCTGAACCGGTGCCACGGTGATGGCAGCTGGCTGGGGACAAGGCTGGCTTTGTGCGGTGCCCGGGCAGGTGCCGGCAGTGGCTGGGCCGTGGGTGTGGGGACTTAACCCTCTCACCGCTGCTGCGCGCCAGGGCCGTCTGCCTCCATTGCTCATCCTCACCAGCTAAAATCCAGCCCACCACTCACCTCGCCACCCAGCCCAGTGGCAGTTTGCATGTCACGGGGACCCTGTCAAGGCCGGCGCATCACAAGGTCCCAGGGGGCAATTTGCACGTGGTTGGGAGCCTGCAGGTCCCCTTGCCTGGCCTGGCCCTTTGTTTCAGAGCTGGGTGAAGGCAGAAGCTCCCGCCCTGGGTCGAGCCCATCCCCGTGGACCAAAAGCGATGGGTGCCCAGAGCCACGGTGGAGCTGCAGGAGGATCTTCCCCAGGTTTGGGGGTGGGCAGTGCAGCCACATGGTTGACAGCAGCTGCTGGCGTCAGCTGAAGGGGCAGGACGAGGTGGCAGGGGGATGAGCGGAGGTAACTTTTCCTGGCACAGCCCCAGGCAGCACAATACCCGGCCGGATGGCGGAAGGGAGCTGCCGGCCACTTCCCCCGAGGAAATGCACCCGCTGGCTCCAGCTCCTGCTGCTCTCCCTCCTCCTCCTGTTTGATTTACGGCGTGCGCAGAGCCTGGCAGAAACTTGGTCCTTGCCCTGGCACTCTTTAATTCCCTGCAGTGAGCGCCATGTGGAGGAGGAGGCTGGCTGCTTCCTGGGGCCAGAGGGATTAGATGAGGTGGGGGGATGCACAGACCCTTTTAGGCATGAAGCCAGTGGCACAGGAATGGTGGGGTGCCAGCATGGAGCCTGGGATGTTCCCAAGGGATGTGGAAGGGGTGCTGGCACAAAGCTGGGATGATCCCAAGGGAGGTGGAATCTGGGATGTGCATCAGCTGTGGGTGGGTTGGGAGAGCCCCAGACTGGGAAGCGCCTCGTCCCTGCCCGGCCGGACTCAAGCCCTTGACTCCGTGCACTGGGGCTGGCGGTGGGGGGCTGCCACGTCGCCTGGGTGCCCAGCCTGAGCCTGGCCTGCGCCACGGCTGCTCCTCCGGCTTCTGGCAGTCGCACAGTCGGGGCAAACCACAGGCTGGCAACTGCAGTGGCACGGCTGGGGCTGGGGGGCAGCAGGCGGCATCGTCGTGGGCTGCGGGTGCAAGCCGGGGGCTGTCACGTTGTCTCCAAGCTGGGCTGTGTGACAGGGGTGGCCACAGCACCTCTGCTAGAATAGTCCGTATCCTCTGGTTGTCACGGACAGCGGATTTGGGGATGGATGCGGGCGTTTTTCCACAGCCAAGGCTGGATCCTGTGCTCTGGGCAGCACTGAGCCTCAGCTTCCCTTAGGGCTGTGCCTGAGCTGCCTCTCCTCTGCGGCATGCCTCCTCCCCTGCTTTCTTCTGAAAATAGCCCAGTGCCAAATGCTTTGCCCGCTGACAGCTGCACAGCCCCAGGGCCACCTGTGCCCGGTGGGCAGGGCCACCATGTCCCCGCCACGCAGGGATCCCACATCTCCCTGGAGAGTGACACCATGCGCAGCAGCAGTGGGTGCTACCGGGTTGCTGTTCACCCCCATCCTGCTCCCACCAGGAGCACTTCTCACCTGGGCTCCAGCACCCAGATGCTGCCAGATGTCGTGGCAGGTCCCAGATGAATGCTCACAGCTGGCGGCATCCCCAGCCGTGAGCTCACCCCTGGGCCACAGCCGCATCCTGCTGGCTCTCCTCCAGCGTGCCCATGCCTGGATCTTGGGAAAACCAGGCTCCCGTTTCATTCCCCTCTGCCTCTCGCCATGCCTTCTCCTGCGTTATTGACAAGGAAAAGCAGCCAGGTCTCTCCTGGGGGTCACCAGCCCTCAAGACAGCCCTGAGGTGGGGATGGGCAGCAGCCAGCACCCCGGCCCTGCTCAGCCCAGGCACCAAGGATGGACATCACACCCAGTGAGCGACAGGTGCTAGTAGCTGCCTGCAGTCACGTGGCTTTGCAAAAGCATGGATTCCGTTTTTCCAAAGCAAACCTCTGAGAATTGCACCCATAAAGGCTGCAGACTTTTTTTTTTTTTTTCCCCCAGCCTGCTCACTCTGTGCAGCCGAGCTCTGACTCATGCCTGCACCCTTGGAGCTGGCAGCGCCACTGCCACAGCCATCCCAGCCTGGGCTGCGAAGCATTCCTTAAATGTACAAACAGTCCCCAGCCCCACAGGCAGCACTGCACTTGCCCGCCCAGCTGCCAGCTCGAGCTTCAGCTCATGGCACCGGGGCTGGAGGGAGGCGAGGGGGACCGGGCAGATGGCGGGGGGTGGCCACAGGGTGCTCCCTGGGCAGGGGGCAGTGGTTTGCGGCTGGGGGGGCGCTCACCAGCCCCCAGTTTGCAGAGTTCCGCTGGACGTGGCCCCGTTGTTGTTGCAGGTTGATCGTTTCCTGGCCAGCAGCATCCCGGGGCGAAGATGGCTCAGCCTGCACCCCTGAACCAGAACCTCCCAGGTAAAGGGATCGGGGTCATCACCAGGCAGGGACAGTGGAAGGAGTGTGAGGGAAGTGGTGGGGCTGAGCCACTTCCAGGGGCTGTCCTGTCCCAGTGGGTTTCCTCACTCCAACACTGACCCCACCACAGAGCGGGTGTCCTGTGACACCCAAGGGTGCTGGGGACCGGCCATCCGCTGGGCCCACTGCCAGCAGGATTGGCAGGGAGGGGGGCTGTAGGCTGCAAATCCCCGTATAGCCCAGTTGGAAAAGCCTTCCCATCTCTGCCAGGTCCCTTCCTACTGTCTCTGCTCCTCTTCTAGACCTCGGGGGCCCGTTCTTGTACCGGGACCAGGACAACGGGGAGAAGAGCTCGTATTCAGTGGAAACCCCCTACGGCTTCCTCCTGGACCTGGATTTCCTGAAATACGTCGATGACATCGAAAGTGGCCAAACGCTCAGGAAAGCGCCGCTGCCTCGCAGAGCGAAAGGGGCCCGGCAGCCGCCCAGCGCCCTGCGCAGCCCCAGCAGCCATGCCAGCGCCTGGACCTCCACCGAGTCCCTGGCCTCCACAGCCAGCGAGGAGGGCAGGACCGCCCCGCTGCTGTCCCCACGCAGCCAGGCACCCCTGGAGCTCCCGAGCAAACCAACCTCCCACCCCGTCTCACCGTCGCCGCCAATTCGGCTGCTCCCACCTCCCACCCGCAAGTGCCCGGTGCGAAACCCGCGGGTGGAGAACACCTTGCTGGAGACCAGCAGGAGGCTGGAGCAGGAGCAGGGCCGTTGGCAGGATGCCGGTGCTCCCCCCCGCAGTGGCCCGCCAGGCACCCTGAGTCAGCTGCCCCCCTGGGTGCCAGTGGGTGCCGAGGGCCAGGCGGGCTGGGGACGGGCGAGCCCCAGCAGCTCGGGGCGCAGCACGCCGGCGGCAGGGCTCAGCGCTGCGCCGCTGCAGCACGTGCGGGAGCAGATGGCCGCAGCCCTGCAGCAGCTCCGGGACCTGGAGGAGCAGGTGAAAACCATCCCCCTCCTGGAGGCCCAGGTCTGCGAGCTGAAGAGGGAGAAAGCGAAGCTGATGGCGAAGCTGTCGGTGGAGCCTGGCGAGGCTTTCGGCCACCCCCCTGGCTCCGAGGCGGCAGCAGGGAGCGAGGAGCCGCCCCGAGTGGGGCCTGAGAGCGAAGCGGAGCCGGCCAAGGGGCGAGCGAGCAAGGTCGCGGAGCTGAGGAAGCTGACAGAGAAGCTGTCTGTGCCGGAGCGGGGTGGCAGGGCTTGGCCGGGCAGGAGCCCCAGGGCTGCCGAGAGGCCGTGCCGCTCGGTGGCGGTGGGCGAGGACCGGGCCATGACCGACGCCGTCTTCTACTACCGGTCGCAGCAGGAGGGCGGCGATGTGCCCCGCGGCAAGGCGAGGGAGCGCAGGGACGCAGCTGTGTGGGTGCTGGAGTCCTCGCTGGGGCTGGCCAGCGAGACGGAGCGCGAGCTGGGGCTGCTGCAGCAGACGGTGGGGCACCAGAAGGAGGTGATCGCCCTGATGGAGGGGCACCTGTGGGAGGCCACGCGGGAGCTGGAGGAGCTGCGGCTGGAGGTGTGCGCCCGCCGGCCCCGCGGGCGGGTGGACAAGGAGGTGATGGCCAAGCCACAGGTGGCCGAGGCACTGGTGGAGGCAGCAGTGGCCACGCAGAGCCGGGCAGCCGGTGACCCCCTGGAGACGAGAGAGGCGGGCGTGGAGTGCTACCCCCCAACCACCTGCGTCGGGGTGGGCTGCCGCCCCGTCGGGAGGGACGTGGCAGTCGGACCCGATTCAGCTGCCGGGTGCGAAGACAAGGGCAGCCAGACCGAGGTGGGCAGCACCGTCCCGGCGGGCGGGGAGACGGAGCCCGGAGCGGGCAGTGCCCCGAGCAGCCCCGTGGCGCGGGACGCGGGAGCAATGGCTGGGATGTGCCAGGGCAGCCCGGGCCCCAGGGCAGCTGCGCCAGAGAGCACGCAGAGCGGCCAGGACCTGTCCCCAGCACGGGACAGCGGAGCTGCCCCAAGCCCTGCAGCCGGTGAGTCGGCACCAGAGGTGACACCAGGGTCTGGGTTGGGAAGGGAGAGGGTGGCCCTGCTGGGGACAGCGCTTGCAGGGCCGATGCTACCTGCGTCACAGCACCTGCCTGCACTCTGCCCACACCCTTGCCATGCCTGTCCTGGGGTCTGGCGGGTTTGGGGTGCCCGGGCAGTCCCAGGGTGGAGTTCCTGCTCTTGGGCCCCTGACACCCATCTCTCTACCCCCAGGAGCCCTGAAGTCCATCATGAAGAAGCGGGATGGTCCCCCCCGGAGCGAGCCTGAGGGCAGCAAGAAGAGCTTGCAGTTTGTGGGCGTGCTGAATGGGGAGTACGTGTTGAGGGGCTCCTGCCACACCCCACCGGGCCAGCCCCAGCCCCCAGCATCCCTGTCCTGGGCTGGGGGCAGTGGCAATGGGGGGGCCTGGAGGGGACCGGCCTAGTGCCACTTGGCCACTGAGCATCCTCCCTCTGTGCAGGTACGAGAGCACATCCAGCGAGGAGGAGGAGGAGGAGGAAGGAGACAGCTCCTCTGAGAAGGCTTCGGCCGACAGCTCCAACAGCGAGGAACAGGGAGACACTGAAACCTCAGATGAGGAGGCTGGGGAAGGCGAGCAAGAGCCAGGACAGGAGCATGAGGGGGCCAGCGTGGTCCTGCCAGAGCCCCCCGAGGTGAAGGAGAAGTAAGTGCCAACAGGAAGGCTCCCGCACCCTGCGCAGCTGGGAGCCACGGGCTGGCACCAGCCCTGCTGACTAGGGCTGTCTGCCCTGGTTTCAGTGCAGTCGATGGGAAAAATACATTCAGCTCCTGCAGAAACCATTTGGCAGGAAAAAGTCCTTCCAGCTTCTTGGGTCTGCTAAGAAAAGGACGAGACCGAGGCCCCAGATGCCTCTTTGCTGGAGAAGATAGTTTGGAGGGGGACAAAACCACCAAGAGCCCTTAATGGCATTTTTCAAGAAAAGGAAAAAGTTTGGCCTGAAAATAGATAACTCATGCCTGAGCACATCTGTATAAGGCTCGGTTCAGCAGGTGTTTGTAGAGGCTGAAGCTACCAGGGTGCAACCACCAGGCTGGACATTGCACCAGGGGGAGCTCATGGAGGCTCGGAGGCCTGAGGAAGAGGAGCAAAACCTCTGCGAGGAGACTCGGGTGCCCCTTGCTGGCAGGGTTTTGGCGGGGCGACACAGCCCCACACCGCAGACACCCTCATGCTCTCCCCAGGTTTGAGCTGAGCCCCAGAATGCGGGAGGCCTGCCTCATCGTCAAGACCCATCTGGGCCACCCTGGTGCCACCAAGAGCAAAGAGGTGGTGAGTGGGGTGCTGCGGGTGGGACAGCTCACCCAGCCCCTGCTGGGGTCCTTCCCTGGGGCTGGCCCTCCTCAAAGATGGACCAGCAAAGTGGCTCAGCACCTTGGCCCACAACACAGCCCTTTGCCCCAGGCTTTGTCCCAGGTACCCCAAAACCCATGTGGACTCAGCTCGGGCCATCCCAGCATGGTTTTGGGGTTTCAGCTTTTACCTAGTCCCCTCTGGAGCAGGATTTCTGCTCCCTGCCAGGGCCAGCAGTGGGGTGGGGTGTGTGCTGAGAGGCGGCGGGGGTGTGGGGCTGTGCAGAGGCTCGGGGAGGGGGGGGGAGCCGTGACCCCCGCCTCAGCCCTGCTCGCTGCCCACAGCTCACCAGCAGCAGCCTGGTCCTGCAGGAGTGGTTCCGTCTATCCAGCCAGAAGCTGTCCATCCCCGAGACGGTCGCCAACCACCTCCTGGCCTTTGCTGAGGTCTCGCCAGCTCTCCTGGCCCACGTGGTGAACCTGGCAGATGGGAATGGCAACACAGCCCTGCACTACAGCGTCTCCCACTCCAACTTCCACATCGTGCAGCTGCTGCTGGACACAGGTGGGTGCCCTGCACCCACAGAAATGTCCCTCTGCCACCATCCCACTCTGTACCCCAGGTCACATCCTGGCCATGCCAGGCGTGGGGGGAAGGTGCTGACAGCAGTGGGGCAGGGAGAGCTGCCCTGGGCTGTGTCTGTGCACAGGTGGGGTGGGGTGGGGTGGGCAGCCCCCCCAGACCTTTGGGAGCCTAGATTTGATGGGGGGACCCATCAGCAGGTCTGTGCCCATGGGGCTGTGGGATGGCTCCCAGGAGCCAGGCACGTGGTTCAGCCTGTGCCTCCCCCAAGCCCCTTCAGCACCCTGAGGCCCCCGCTCTGCCCGTCCCCACAGAGGTCTGTAACGTGGACCACCAGAACAAAGCTGGGTACACAGCTCTCATGCTGGCAGCGCTGGCGGCCGTTGAGCAGGAGGATGACATGAACGTGGTCAGGAGGCTCTTCAGCATGGGAAATGTCAATGCCAAGGCCAGCCAGGTTGGTGCAGGCTGGGGACCACCACATCCTCATCCTCTCCCCTCACTCCCAAGCAGCTGCCAGGGCCACACTCACGTCCTCCAAGGGCAGGACTGTGGCTCCAAAATCTGAAGGGGCCAGTACACAGGGAGGGCATCACATTAGGAGCTCCTCAGAGACCGTGTGGGCTCTGGGGACGGCACCGGTCGCTCCCTGGGACAGTGGGAAGAGTGGGTGGCACAGCCAGGGCAGGAGCAGCCTGGCAGCGTCCCTCGCATTGCAGGCTGGCCAGACGGCACTGATGCTGGCCGTCAGCCACGGCCGGCAGGAGATGGTGGAGGCCCTGCTTGCCTGCGGAGCCGACGTGAACCTGCAGGACGAGGAGGGCTCGACGGCGCTGATGTGCGCCTGCGAGCACGGCCGCGTGCAGACAGTGAAGCTGCTGCTGGCTCAGCCCACCTGCAACGTCGCCATCGTGGACAGCGTAAGCCTTTGCTGCTGGGGCCTGGGCATGCTTGCCCACCCTGCGTCCTGTCCCCAGACCTCCCGCCCAAGCGCTCTCCCTTCCTTTTTAGGATGGTAACAATGCCGTCACCATCGCACTGGAGGCTGGCCACAGCAACATTGCTGTGCTCCTCTCCGCCCACCTCAAAGGCACAGCTGCCCGTGAGTACTGCAATTCCCACCCAGCTCCTGCCGCCTGCCCTGTCCCACACAAGGGCCGCAGAGGTGGCACCGGGCCACCAGCTTAGCTGCAGGGTGGGCAGGTAGCCCCATGGAGGGGACAGGGCTGTGACACAGATGGGACTCGCCAGGAAGGGGCTGCAGGGGCTAGAGCAGAGCACCCCAGGTGCCACACGCTCAGTGCATCCTCAGTAGCACAGAACGAGCCTGGCTGGCTCTGACCAGTAATCGTGGGAGGTGTCTTTGGTTATATTTCATGACTCTGCTCTCTCTGCAGCAGCAGACATCGCTGACAGACACAAAGAGCCCTGGGAACATGAAGAAACCAAATTAGAGTGACCTTGGGATCCAGCCAGGGGCCAGCCAGCCACCATCACCACTGGGTTGTAATTTATGTCCCCCCGCCTGCCACCCCTTTGTGTGCTGAATTGCTCTCTGCAGCTGCAGATGCTTTAATCCTCCTGTCAATAGAGCAGGCACCATCCCTGGGCCTCACTCGCCCATCTCCACTGCTGGGAGCAAGAGGAGCCGAGCATCAAGTGACCTCGGGGTGGGAAATGCAGCAAGCAGAAGCCAGCCCCACCAGCCCTGCTCCCCGCCACAACCACTGGAGCGGCACCACCTCGGAGCCCTCTGCAAGTCGTTAACTCACTGAAGAGCAGAAAACAAGCCCAGCAGAAATAGCACCTGGTTTCCACTATCTCAGCCAGGTCCTGGCAGCTCTGGGAAGGCAGTGGGGCTGGTGACAAGGAGCAGGGCTGCGGGAGGGCGAGTGTCAGCTCAGGGACTCTGCTGTGCTGCACGGTGCTGGCGGGGAAGTGGTGCATCCAGGCGCATCCTGTGCAGTGACAGAAGAGGGGGACACAAACCAGCTGGTTAACGCTGCCTCAGGTGCAGGCTGGGAGCACTTTCAGACTGAAATACTTGCCCTTCTTTTCTGGCATTTCCTTTCCTGGCTGAAATCTGAGATTTTTTTCCTAGCACATGCACACAAAGCAAAAAAAAATTATATTGCTTAGTCAAAGGATCAAGTTCAACATGAAATCACACAATGATTTTATTTGCTCAGTGGAAGCAAAACTTCTGGGCACTCAGGACTGCAGCCAAGTTGACCGAAGCAGGCCAAGAGCCATCAATGCATTTAGGGACTGAGAGTGCCCAGCTGGTAGCCCACAGGTAGCAGGGACCTTCTCCCAAGTGAAAGATAGCAATTACCTCCTAAATATTTTCCCATTTAAAACAGTCTTATAGCCACTCACTATGAAGGCAACCAGAGCCCGCAACCAAGTCCCTCTTGGCCCACTTTCCTTTCCAAGGGGGAATAGAGCAGTTGAGGATAGCTCCAGGAGAGACCAGCAAGAATTGCTCAGAGGGACTAGGGCCCACAGAGATGGACACGTATGTCAGAGGATGTGTGTGTGTCTGCGAGTGTGAGAGACCCAGGCAGGGTGGGAACAGAGAAGGACTAAGGACCGGAAGGAAAAAGAAAAAGGCTTTTGCATGTGAAGCCAGCTCCGCTTTGAATCCTTCACAAAGGTAATATGCCACAGCCCCCATTTCTGCTCCTCGGCCCAGCCTCCCCCACCCCATCACTCCTGCCCTAGCCAGGCCTGGTCTGAGCCATACTGCAAGCTGGGAAATGCTCCCTAACAAACTTGTTCTGGGCAACGTGCCGCTGTCCTCACAGTGGGCCCATTTCAGCTTTGCACTGAAGCTAATATACAATGCTCACAGCCACTCTCTAGTATACTCCTCTGTATGTATTCTGTACTCACTGCTTTGGTCTCACAGGTTTGTTTACTGATATTTTAATACTGATGTTTATTTTGAAGATATGAATAAAATTTTAAGTAAAATTATTTTGAAATATTACAGTGACTATCAGCAGTTTCCTGCCTTCTTGTCTGGCTCAAGATAAAACCCCCAGAACAGCTTCAGAGGGACAGCCCAGCACAGCCCTCGCCCCGAGCAGGTGCCTGCATGTTTCAATTCATTCCCTGCAAGTTTATGATCTGGCTACATCCATCAGTCTGGTTTTACTCCAGCTGAGCTGTCCCAGTTGGGTACCATGGTGTCTTCTGACATGTTTCACTTCACAGGACCCAGTGGAGGCTGGGACCAGCCATAGCCCTTCACTGCCCTTGGTTCACCCCGGTACTCTGATATTAAGCTGCAACATTAAAGGGCAACCATCAGATTGAGAGTGGGGATGCAAAGCCACCTCCCTCCTCATGTGGCCAAGGGCCACGCTGATCCCTCAGGCATATTCATAAAGGGCTACAGCTGCTCTGAGCCACCCCCCCCAAGTTTACTTCTGGCCACCAACTCACTGCTGACGCCGCCTGTCTCGGTCACTCAGCAGTCAGGGCTGGCAGCCACCAGAGCAGACACTCTGGTCATTGCTAAAGCTGTGCAGGGAACAAACAGCAGCCAGAGAAGTGAACTGAGGTGGACTTCTTGCACTCATAGGTCCCAAGAGCTCTGCTGTGTCACACAAATCAGGGGAGCGTGGACTCAGCTGATGCTCTGAAACTGAAACACCGCCAAAGAAGAATCAAGAACAAGATCAAGCAACAGTGCGAGCACATATTGACAAGGGCTCTCTCCAGATCACAAAATCTACCTCAGGCCACACATGAGCTGATCAGGGCACAACTGACATCTGCAGGAAGGGGGGAGGGAACAAACAAAAAAAAACCACAAACAAACCAACCACAAACTAAACCACAGTCTTTTAACACCAGCAATCCTCACTATCTGTCTAAATTCAGCAATTTTAACATCTATTCCAGAAGTACTCTCCTCAGCTTTAGGACCCTCAATCCCCCCTGCCACTAAAGTACCTTAATCAAGTGTAGGACATTGACAGGTGAAGAACACTCCCATCAGAGACCACAGTATGAGGAGCTGCAGACCTGACTTGGTTCAAACACACCACAAACCAGTATCACTCTATTGGCAGATGGAAAATACCAGTCCTTAAAAACCAGCCCTCGAACTATGACAGTTTCCAGGATCATTCCTAATTCTTTCAGCCTTACTTTTACCAAAAATCAAGAAATCTTTCTAGCTAGTTGTGTGGTGGAAGGGAAAGTTGCGGAAGAAAGTAAGTGAGACCAATTTACTAAGGGGAGGGAGACAAGCACTCACCCTCTGTGGGTGACTGCCAGGAAAGACAGTGAGTAGGTGTATTTATAGCAGCATTTATAGAATCGTTTACTGAGGACAGACGGACATAAGCAGCAGGCTGTTGCTTTGCAAGCTGGTACAAAGCTTGACTTCAACTCATAACTGAACTCCCCAGAAGGCCAGTAAGTTTAGCAGCGTTACTTTAAAGGTCGGGAGAAAGTTGCTGTAATCAAAGCAGAGTTGTGTTTGTTGTGAGAGGCTAACAAAAATGCAAGGACACCGTAACATTATGATGAAGGCATGATGTGTGACCCCAGCAATAAGCGGGACATGCTTCTGTCCCTTAGCTGAACCCACCAACCAAAGGCAGGTGCGCAAGGACTGAGAATGACCTGAGTACTGATGCATGAGGCCCAGGCGAGGGACTACCGGAAAAAGCCTTTATTGCAGTAGCGCCGCCGCCGCGCCCCTCTCCCCGTGCCGGTGCCGGTGCCCGTGCCCGGCCGCTCCGCGCAAACGCCGGGAGGCCCCGCTCCCTGGAAGGGGACGGCGGGGGCCGCGCGCGGGCGCGGGGGCCGAGGCTCCGCGCGGGCCCGGGGCCTCAGCGCAGCCGCCGCGCCTCGCGCTCCGACTCCAGCAGCGTGAGGACGTCGCCCTCGCGCACGGGGCCCTTCACGTTGCGGATGATGGAGCGGCTCGTGTCGTCCATGAACTCCACCCGCACCTGCGGGGCGAGACGGCGTCAGCCCGGCCCGGCGGCCCCGCTCCCCGCCCGGCCCCGCTGCCTCACCTGCGTGCACTGTCCCTGCGACCCCGTCCGGCCCAGCACCTTGGTCACCTGCGGGGACAGAGCAGAGGCTCAGCGCCCGGCCCCGCCGACCCGGCCCCGGCCCCGGTCCCTGCCGCCGCCCCCCGATCCCGGCCCCGGTCCCTGCCGCCGCCCCCCGATCCCGATCCCGATCCCGGTCCCCACCGCCGCCTACCCCCGATCCCGATCCCGGTCCCGGTCCAGGCCCCGATCCCGGTCCCCACCGCCCCCCGGTCCCGGTCCCGGCCCCGGTCCCCACCGCCCCCCGGTCCCGATCCCGGCCCCGGTCCCCACCGCCCCCCGGTCCCGGTCCCGGCCCCGGTCCCGCCGCCCTCACCCTGGCCAGCTTGATGGGCTGCACGCGGCTCGTGTCCATGGCGGCTCCGCGGCGCAGGGAAAGGGCGGGGCTCCCCCGCGCGCCCTTTTCTACCGCGCCAAGTTCTCGCGAGATTCAGCGCCCCCCTCTCTCCCGGCACCCCCCGCGCCCGCCTGTCCTTCACTGCGCCCAAGATGGCGACGGCCACCCGGCTCGTCCAGCGCTTCCGAAACTTCTTGGCGGGGGTAAGGGCAGCCCCCACCACCCCCAGCACCCCCCCACGCACACCCGTGAGGCGGTGCCCTCTGCGCGGGGCAGCGGCCCGCGGTGCGTGAGACGCTCTCGCCTTTGCCTTGCAGCGGGACCTGCAGGCCAAGCTGCCGCTGCGCTACACGGAGATCTCGCAGAGGTGCCGGCGGGGCGGGCGGCGCTGCGGGCCCGGGCGGGCGCCCTGAGGCTCCCGGCCGCCGCTGACGAGGGGCCGCCCGTTCTCTTGTCCAGGAGCCAGCCGCCGCCTCGGCTCCCGGTGGGCCCCAGCCACAAGCTCGCCGGTAACTATTACTGCAGCCGGGACGGTCGCCGAGAGTCTCTGCCGCCCGTCGTGGTCGTGATGGCACAGAAAACCCTCCCTGCGGGGGCTCGGGCTGGCAGGTAGGTCTGACCCGGCCGGTCCCGCAGCACTGGCACTGCCACTGTTGGAGCTGAGCGGGCTTAAGCCTCGCTTCATTGACACCAGAAATGCACAACTCGTCCAGTAAGTAGTGTTGGATTTCCCAGGTTGGTAGAAGAATGTTAAGACTAATTCTTTGTGTCTCTATATTCTCTCTTGAATAAGGGCTGTGTCTGGAAGTTGACTTAACAGATCCCTCTAGCACTAATAAAACCTGTACTCCCAATGAAATCTGAATCTGATTTTCATAGCGTCACTAAAGCCTCTTTTCTCTCTTCCTTCCCCTTCCTCAGTTCAGGCTCTGCAGTGACAACAGCTGAGAAAAAGCCAGTGACGCCAGGACCAGTACTGAAGAAGTGGGAAATTTCAAAAGACCAGCCTTATTTGTGAGAAGTAAATGTGATGAGGCCGATGTACAGGTCACAGCTTGTTACAGGGCAGCACTGTAACAGAGAACCCCATGGTGGATTTTGCTACAGCGATGCTGCACAGAACTTGTCCTAGTGCTGCTGATGCATGCCTAATAATGTATTTAAAGCTGTGATTACCACCACCACCACCACCATTTTGTCTGTTTTATTTGAATTATCCAAATTGCTACTTTTTCGTATTGGTTTGGGTATTGGGTTTCCTTGCGGGAACAGCAACGTACTCGTGCATTCGATCTGAACCGCAGCGGGTTTGTAAATTACAGCGGAGATACCGCTTCAGGACAGAGCTGAATGAAACACGCCCCAGCCAAAAAGGACCGCGTGCTCTTGCTTTTGCAGCAAGAGACGGGAGGTCAGTGGCCGCCGTGCCCGTACCGCAAGCGCCCGGTACCGGCTCAGGCTGCCCTGCTGCGCCTACGTGCTTTCCCGGCGCAGAGCGCTCGGGCAGCCCCCTCCCCGGGGCGCGGGGCCACCTGCCCTGAACCTGCGGTGACCTGCGGAGCCCCGGCCCGCGGCCCCGGGGGAAGCCCGGCCCGGCCCGGCCCGCGGCCCCGGGGGAAGCCCGGCCCGGCCCGGCCCGCGGCCCCGGGGGAAGCCCGGCCCGGCCCGGCCCGGCCCGGGGCGGCGGGGGCGCCCCCGCTCGCGAGATGGCGGCCGCGCTCCGCCCGCCGCGCGGGGAGGGCGGGGCCCCCTCAAGGGCACCGGCTTCCCATTGGCGGTGGCACGCCGGCGCGCATGCGCCCTGCCACGGCGCGGCCGGCTTTCTAGAGGCGCGGCCCGGGGGCGCAGGGAAGCCGCGGGATGGCGTGGCTGCTGGTGCTGCTGGCGCTGCCGGCGCTGCCGCCTCCGCCGGGGAACGGTGAGTGGGAAGCGGGGCTCGGCCGCGCCGCGCCCCTGCCCTGCCCTCCCCTCGCCCTGCCCTGCCCTCCCCTCGCCCTGCCCCTTTGCTCGCAATGGCGGACGCGTGGGCTCCCCTCAGGCGCGCAGCGGCCCGGGCGCCTCGCGGCCCCCCCCTCAGCCCCTCTCCGTCCCCGCAGCGTCCCTGCCCGGCTGCCCCCCGGGCCGCTTCCAGTGCGAGCCCGGCGCCGTCTGCTTCCCCTGGGAGTGGCGCTGCGACGGACACCCCGACTGCGAGGACGAGGGGGACGAGCGGGGCTGCGGGACGGCGGCCGCGCCGGAGGAGCCGAGCCCCGGCGCCGCTGGGGTGACCCCGCCGCGGAGCTCTGGAGTGCGGCCTAGCGCCAGCGCAGGTACGGGGGTGCGGCCGGTGGCACGGGCCCTTCGGCCGGCCGGGGGTGCGGGGGGCCGAGCCCCGACGGGCGGCCTCTGTGCTCAGAGGGTGGAGAACCAGACCAAAGCCTCTCATCTCCGCCGTTTCCAGCGTCTCTGAGACAGTTCCATTCAACACAACCTGCTTTGGGCAGGAGAAGCGCTGTGGGGCCAGCCCCACCCTTCCTCCTGTGGAGACGGCTTTTAAACACCCCAGGGCTCCATCGGGAAGTGCCTTTGAAGTACCTTCTTCCAGAACACGCAGTTCTGGCTGCTTCCTTCCAACAAGCCAGCCACATGGGAGTTTCTGTCCGCTCTTCTAAGCTCCTCTGACCTCCAGGGAAGGGGCAGGCTGAAGGGAAGAGGATGGGGAAGCACTACTGGGCTGTGCGGACAGGATCAGAGCAGCAGACGCTGGTATCTGTCACGCTGCCAGGACTGTCTGTGTCTGCTGCTCTGCTCTGAGATGCTCTGGAGCTTCCTTTGTCACAAACCTGTTGGCTGAGGTGCTTGAAAGTGCTGTTCCAGCGTCCCTTGCCCAAGGGGCGTCTGGGAGCTGAAGCACCGTTGGTGTGGCGAGGAGGGGTGTTACTGCAGGCATGGGAGACTGTTTGGATTTGATGCCTGCACCGGTTCAGTTGGTAGGTGGGGAGATGAGCTGCATTTTGGTTGTACCTGGGGCTTGCCAGCGCCACGGGGAGAGGTTAGGAGGCTGCAGCTACAGCTGGGAAATCTCCCAGCTTTCCCTGTTATGCATTTCCAGTAGCACTTTTTTTCCTCTGATATGGGCTAATCACAGTAACGGCAGATAAGGTTTTGCTTAAATTGAAAAAGGCCTGTTGGCGCTCTTGAGGTGAACTGGGAACTCATCCAGATTTGGATTGGAGACTGCTTTGAATGCTAACCATAGGGTGAGTTGGAAGCCTGATGGACTTCGTGTTCTTTCCTCACAGAGACTTCAGCTATGCCTGCGGGTTCTGTGCCGCTGAGGAGTCAAGGCCGCATGTGGGTCTTGATTATTGCAGGTATGTGAGACCTAGAGTGCTGCACATGGTGTTGGTCCTGACTTGGGATATAAATTGATCCTGATGGATCATATCCTGATGGAGTTAATTCCAGACCTGTGTCAGTAGCTGCTTCTGCTGGGCTGGGAGGGCTAGGGGAGGCCTTACACCACAGCTTAATCATTCCTCTCACTTGAGTGCACTGTGTCCTTGGAAAGGCCATTCCATGCAATCTGGCACTAACTGACTTCCTCCCTCTCTGTCCCTTGCCCTTGAGGAAAGCTGCTGATCTCTAGCTGTTGGCTAATGCTGTTGAGCAGCAGAGCCCAGTACTGATGTCCAGACCAGGTGCAGTGAGTGGTCCTCTGCTTGTGCACTCCCTTCTCTAGTGCTCCTGAGCATCCTCGTAGCTGTGAGTTCCGTTGCTGTGTGGGGCCTCTCCAAAGCAAAAAGTAGATCTGACATCTTCAGTCTTGAAAAAGCATCCAGGGAACAGCTGGTGCCTGACAAGAGCCAGATGGGCTCATTTCCCTGAAGGGTAAGTTTCATGCCCCCCATGCGGTTCGGTTTGTATGCATGAGGAAGAAATGCTTTCTTGCCCTGTGTTTCTAGCCTCTAGAGCTTTCCTCTCCGGGCGTAGCTTTTTCTGGCCTTTCTTGCTGCTTATCAGCCACATGCTTGGGATTTCAGTCTGCCCTGAAGCAGCAGAACTATTACTTTCCTTTATTGCAATCAGACACAAAGGTTTTTGCTTGACTGCAGGGATAGTTGCATAGCCTAATCTGGGAAGATGTTGGCTTCTTTTGATGGTGATGTGCTGGTCTCTGTCCTTCCTTGTCTGCCAAGGACAGAGTACTCATGCTAAGATACTAATCTTATGATGTGGGTTTTCTTCCATTTTCCACAAACTGAAGTCAAACCAGGTTTTTGCCCAAAGGACTGTCAATAACCAGGTGTTTTTCTGTTCTTATAACAGGGATCTTTACCATGAGGTGATAAGATGGGACTAGCCTGGTCTCCCCCCTCCTCACCACAGAGACTGAATTGGACATAAGCTCCCAAATCTGGGTTGTTACACTGGAATAACAAGAAGATGCTCCCCTTGGGAATGGATGTTAGATTGTGGGACTAATAGCACAGGACTTTCTCTGGTGCTGTGAAATCACCCCGTACAAAGGTGGCACAAATTAATTTATTTATTGTTTTTATCTCCAGGGATTAATGTTGATTCTCACCAGTGTGGCCTTGGACCTGAAGATTTTATTCTCCATGAAATGACAGGTGCTAGATGCCATTCAGCTGTTTCCCTCCGCTTCCAGCCAAGAGACTTTTTTCACCTGCCCCATTCTTACCCCTGGATTTTCTCAAGGAACGCGGGCTTTCTCTTCCAGTTCAGTAGGAGCCCACTGACTGTGCAGATCAGACATGTGCTCCATCTTGGCGCTAGTGTTTTGATGCTGCTCAATCCAATGTACAGGAAGCTTCTACTGACAGGTCAACCCCAGGGGTGAAAGTTGAAAAACTCCCTGTCTGCTCTGGCTTTGGTGTGCTGCCACTCTGAGTCAGCGTGGGGCAAGCGGCTTCTCTGCACACTCCTTTCCAGCAAGGATCTCTGCCCTTTGCAGAACTGCACTTTCCACCCCAGTGGTAAACTCTGGATGTTGCTTCTCTAACACTGTTAATGGTGTCTTCCTTAAAACTGTTTTGACATGAGTGGTGTCCCTCAAGGGTCTGTACTGGGACCAATGCTAATTAGTATCTTCATCAGTGTCACGTATAGCAGGATCAAGTGCACCCTCAGCAAGTCTGTGGATGACACAAGCTGTGTGGTGCAGTTGATTCACTTGAGGGAAGGGATGTCATCCAGAGGGACATTCATGCTGGAGGAGTGGGCCCATGTGAATCTCATGACGTTCAATAAGGTCAAGTGCAAGGTCCTGCACCTTGGTTGGGGCAATCCCTGGAGAGGAGAAGGCTCCAGGGAGACCTTAATGTGTCTTTTCAATATATAAAGGAGGCTTGTAAGAAAGATGGAGAGGCTTTTTATCAAGGCTTCTTGGTGACAGGACAAGGGGTAATGGCATGGCTTTAAATTGACAGAGGGCAGATTTAGATGAGATCTAAGGGAGAAATTGTTCCCTGTTTGGGGGGCGAGGCGCTGGCCCAGGGTGCCCAGAGCAGCTGTGGCTGCCCCCTCCCTGGAAGGGTTCAAGGCCAGGTTGGACGGGGCTGGGAGCCCCCTGGGCTGGGGGAAGGGGGCCCTGCCCGGGGCAGGGGGGTGGGATTAGGTGATCTTTAAAGGTCCCTTCCAGCCCAAACCATTCTGTGTGTCTATGAGGGTTTGAGTGTTTGCCTTTTTTTTTTTTTTTTTTTCCCAGCTTGAAATAACTTCTGTCTTGGATCAAACATTGGATTGTGGCATGTATAGCTGTTTCGGAACAGTTCAGTGCTGTACACTTTTCGGAACTGGCAGCGGGGGAAGGACATTACTGACCAGTGCCTCTAGTTCAATGTTGGCCACGTATTCTTTGCACAAGTGTTCACTAAGTGCGCAAAAGGTAGAAAACTGCTGCCTTGGCTGCTGACCTCTGTGCCTTAAAGGTGAGAACTTGGCTTGTCAAGCAGACATGGGTCATCAGCCTTGGAGCAGGAGTCTTTCACTCCTGGATAGTGTGAGTGTGCTGCTGTAACCCATGGGAGAAACTTCTGTATGTGATACGGAGTGCTGAGTTACTCTAGTGCTGCTGGTTTTAGTCCCAGGAGGTCATTTGTGAGAGTGCGCACAACCTTGCTTCTGTTCCCACAGGGACAGGTGGAGATAGCTGTTGGAGAATGACACAGGAGAATAAAGAACTTTAATGCGTTGTGGATTTTCTGTTTTTCTTGGATGTGTGCATTTGCTTGAATTCTGTAATCAGGAGGTGGGGGCCTGCTTCACCTTTGGACCTGGGAGAGAGGACTTGTGGTTTTAGGCTAGCATGGGCAGATAGGGAAACCAAGTGCTGCTGTGCCTGCCTGGGACTGAAGTGACTCCAGCACACATCAGCTGCAATAGAAAAAAATGAAATACAGGGAGTGGAGTGAATAGAGTAGGTGGAGACAAGAGAAACAGCTGGCACTGGCACCGGGGGTGCTACTGCAGAATTAATGACGAAAGGAAACTTAGCCAAGAACAAGGTGAAAAATTAAAGACTGCCTGACCTTGTTCCTTCTTCGTGAGAGCAAGTGAAAGGAGTGGGGTGTCCAGCAGAGTGGGAAGGTGCTTCAGAAATCCCGTCGGGACAGGGCTGAGCTGGGGCCGACAAGCACTTGTGCTGTGGGGGCCGTGTGGCAGAGGCCAGCTGTCACCAGCCTGTCCCGAGCTGCTGAGCTGGAGCTGGAGCTGGAGCTGGAGCTGGAGCGTGCTGCTCTGCTGCACAGGCAGGGCCCCTTGCTGCCCGCGGGGGGGGCGAGGCTGGTGGGTGTTTTGGGCCGTCATGGCCTCTTCCTACAGCAAGGTCATGCAGGCTTGGCCTACCGATCCCTGAGCTGAGTGGTTCAGGGTTGAAAGAAACACATTTTTATGGGTCTTGTGCCACAGCTTGGGACTGTGTTTGTGACAGCAATTTCCCTTCCTCCGTCTGGTGCCAGAAGCACTTTTGTTGTACTAATCCCCAGGCTCAGAGACTTCAGTTGTAGAGGAGCCTGAGCTGCTTTTCAGCCTAGGAGCAGCTTTGTACTCCAGGTCTCTGTATTTAATTAGATCAGTTCATGGAAATAAATGTGATGTTTTACATGCTGGGGTAGGGTTGTGTTCCAGGGTAAGGCATCAAAGATTGGCCCGTTTAATTTTGGTTCCCCTTTTACTGGCAAATCTAAAGGTTTATTTGCTCCTCCTCAGTTCCTGTAGTTCAGGGGAACTTTTACTGCATACTTCCATTTCAGGTATCCTATTCCACCTTCCTGCCCCTGCTTGTGGGAGTAAAGGGGCTGAAGGCTGGTGCAGTGGGCAGCTGCCCCAGGGCAGTGGTGCAGAGGCAGCCTGTCACGTTGGGGATCCACTCGGGCACTGCGTGGAGGGTGAGACGGGTCCTTCACCTCTTCCCCTGCGGGCCTGTGCTGTGGGGTTTTGAGGAAGGAGCTGGGAGGCAACAACCATTTCCCTTCCCTGGGCTATGGCAGCTGCCAGCGCAGGGGCAGCTGCAATGAATGACTGTGCCAAGAGCAGCATCTGCTGCGGGGGTGCAAAGCTGATGCAAGTCCTGCATGTCTGCACCTTTCTGTGCCTGGCAAGGGAGGTCCTTCAGGGGTTAAATCTGGGCAAGTTCATGCTCTCTTTTCAGTTGGCTATCAGGGACACCCTCCTTGGAGACAGGGTAGCATGTGACAAACGCAAACAACTAATAAGAACAGAAAAAAGAAAAAGACAAGCGCAGAGCTGGAAATAGTTCCTTACATAAAGGGCTGGTGCTTCAATCTCGTTATTGTCTTAAGGAGAGGACGCTTAGCTGCCTTTGACTCCTACAGTGCAACCCCCAATCTGATAAGCAATCGGCTTTGGGAACCTGGCAGGTGCCACGTGGCACCAAGACATGGCCAGTGCCCCTCAGGCAGCAGCTCCCCGCTGCTCTTCTGAGCTCGGGGCACTTGTCCCAGTCAGTGTACGCCTGGTGGGAGCGTTCTCCTGAAGCCAGAGCTGCTGTCCCACGGCCCGAAATGGGAACCGCTGCTTTGGAGGGGCCGGCACGATGAGGCAGCTGGGGACAAGGTGTGCGAGTCTCTCCGCCAGCCTGAGGCCAGGGGATCGCCGGGGTTGCTGCCAGACACGGGAGGAAGAGGAAACCCACATCCCGTTTGCACAGGACAGCCTGGTAAAGCAATGGAGGTCCATGCAGAGCGTGAGGGGCAGAAACCAGGAGAAAACCAAGCCTCTCATACAAAGGAACAAGTCCTTGCTCAACATTAACGTGGGTGGCAGATTGTTCCGGATAGCTTACAAGGTAGCGGCCCTTTATCCCATCACCAGGCTGGGGAAGCTGGCCCTTTATACAGACCCTGTGAAGAAGCTGGAGCTCTGCGATGACTACTCCGTGCAGAGGAACGAGTACTTCTTTGACAGAGATCCTTCAATTTTCCACTACATCTTCCACTTCTACCACAGCGGGATCCTGTGGATAATGGATGAGATGTGCCCCAGCAACTTTGTGGAGGAAATTGAATACTGGGGAATCCATCTGAAATACTCCCAACGCTGCTGCCGGATCCTGTTTGAGGAAAAGCAGGATGAACTCAGTGAGTACCTGAAAATACAGAAGGAGCTAGAGGCAGAACTGGAGCCCCTGGACTCAGTGGAGCAGTTTGAGGGCAAATTTCTGGGATGGTTTCGGAAGATGATCTGGAACCTCATTGAGAATCCATACTCTTCTGTCGCAGCCAAGATCATTGCTGTCATGTCAAGCTTCTTTGTGCTTATCTCCATCGTGGGGATGACACTGAGCACAGTGGAGGAGATGAAACACAAGACAGGGAAGATGTGGATGGAGCAGCTGGAGATGATCTGTGCCATCTTCTTCACCTCTGAATATGTCATGCGACTCATATCCTCCTCCAGCTTCAGGAACCTTTTACGGGCAGCATTTAATGCTGTAGACCTGGTGGCCATCCTGCCCTTCTACATCCAGATGCTCATTGAAAACCTGGACGAAGGAGACACGCTTTACCATGAGGAACTGCACAAGGTGGAGAATGTGAGCAAGCTGGGCAAAGTCCTCAAGCTCATCAAGCTCATGAGGATCTTCCGCATCCTCAAGCTGGCGCGTCACTCCACTGGTCTTCGGGCTTTTGGCTTCACCATGCGCCAGTGCTACCAGCAGGTTTGCTGCCTCTTCCTCTTCATCGCCATGGGGGTCTTCACCTTCTCCGCTCTCATGCACTCGGTGGAACATGATGTCCCAGGCACCAACTTCACCAGTATCCCCTACACATGGTGGTGGGCAGCGGTAAGATGTGAGCACCTTCCATGGGTAGGGGTTGCCCTGGTGCTTGAGGGATTCACCACTGCTGCTGGCCAGGAGGCAGAGAAGGGCCCAGTCTTCCCACCAGCTCAGTAATGGTGGGAAACCCAGAGCCCTGAGAAAAGGCTCTGAGACAAGAAATCAGAGATTTGGACTAAGCTCAGAGGTTCAAAAGCCAGTGCTGGTGCGGGGTGGTGGGGCAGAGGTGGTGGCCTGGGAACCTCCAGGCCTGGCTTAGTGACAAAGGGGATGTAACTCAGCTTGGGCTTTACCTGTCCTGGGACCCAGGTGTTGGGTGGATGTGGTTCAGACCCCACGGGCACGGGGACAGCCCGAGGCTTGTGCAGCATTGCAGCCTGTCTGGGCTCAGCAGATGTGAGGGGGTCAGAGCTTGGGCTGAGCCAGGGCACCCAGGGCTGCATGCAGGAGCCAAGGAAACACGGTCAGGGTGTGCCTCAGCCTGTGTCCTGAGAGAGGACACAGACTGGGGTGTGCTGCAGCTGGGGACAGGGAGCCTGGTTTGCTGCCTTGCTCGTACCAGGAGCCGGCAGCTCTGCTGAGCTGAGCCCTGTAATAAACCTGGGATTACCTCCGAGCAGCTAAAGCACTCGAGAGCCAGGGGTTACAAGGGCATTTTGATTCACAGATTAAATGATCCCACAGATCACTTCTGCTCTTATAATCGCCCTTAGCCAGCACAGGCTGCCTGCCTCAAATTCATCCCTCTTGAAGGAAGTGCAAAATCACCAGATTTGAGTATTTAAATGTCACAGGCTGATCCCGTCCCTGGTCATCACAGCTCCATGCAAAGCCTAAACCTCTCTGTCCCAGCAATCGCCCTCTCCCCAGTCCTGCTCCCCTGCCATCCAAACACAGTTCCTCCAGGTGCATTCCTGGGCAGTGCCTGTTTCCCTTGGAGGGAGGGTCCGGGAAGCTTCATTCCTGTGGGACCAGACAGCTCACGGCCGGGAAGCAGCAGAGCCACTGCTCTGTGGGGGCAGGAAACTCCAGCAGACAGTCTGGCTGCTGGAAACTGTTCAGCTCAGTGATGTCCAGCTGCTTTTGAAGAGACACATGTGAAGGGGCGGCGGGAGCAGGAAGGCTTGCCTCTGGTCTCTGCTGTTGGGGCCTCATCCAGCCCTTTCCTTGGGGTGTCCAGGCCTGCTGGGTGCACCCCGGGGAGCTGAACCCTGGCCAAGCTGGCTGCAGTCGTGGTGCAGTGCTGTTCCCAGGTGATACCCGGTTCCCATGCAGGGGCAGGGGGAGGTTGATGCTGGCACTGGCAAGCGGGGTCTGCTGGGCTTGTTCACGTAGGATTTTATCCTTCCCCTTCCTTGCCCAGGTCAGCCTTTCCACTGTGGGCTACGGAGACACTGTGCCCAACACGGTGCTCGGCAGGATGGTGGCATTTGCCTGCATCTCCTTTGGCATCATCCTCAACGGCATGCCCATCTCCGTCCTCTACAACAAGTTTTCTGACTACTATGCCAAGCTGAAGGCCCACGAGAATAAGACCAGCCACTTGCTCAAGCTGTCCAGGAGGATCTGCTTGAGGGAGCGAATCCTGCAGAAGCTGTCGGAGTGCAGCAGAGCTGACCCCCGCTGGCACCACTGACCACCAGCCCTGGACCCCCCCGGACCCCCCCTCCACCGCGGTGCATCCTCCCTCCAGCCTGGCCGTCTCCCCAGTGGGTCCCGTCCCCTGGGGAGGCTCCACAACTCAGGCAGCGAGCAGCAAGTCACAGCAGCTCGGGGGGGGCTCTGCGCCTGTCCAGGTGCCGCTGCCAGCTCCGGCTGTTTGGAGGAGTGAAACGCGCCCGTGTGCGCTGTGACCTTCCTCGGGAGTGCGCGCTGGAGCCTGCTGCCCCGCGGAGCGGTCTGTAAAGCACCGGCCAAAGAGCGCACGGTACGGGCAGGACAGGACGTGTCTGTGATGGTCTGGGGCACGGGCCACCCTGAGGGCACCGGCAGGGAGCAGGGGGGTGCAGGGGGGTGTCGGGTTTGGGTGTGGTGGGTGTTTTGGTACGGGGGGAAGTAGCTGCAAAGGTGGCTCCTGTGAGAAGCTTCTCAAAGCTCCTTCAGCTCCAAGTCAGACCCAGCTCTGGCCAAGGCCAAGCCTATCAGTGACGGTGGCCGCAGCTCTGTGATAACATATTTAAGAAAGCAAACCTGAGAGGAAGAAGAGTTGCAAGAAGGAGTTATGAGGGAAATACCTCTGCAGAACGCCATCAGTGGGAGAAAAGAGGAGGAGGCGGGAGGGGGAAGGTGTGCTGGAGTAGAGACCCCCCTGCAGCCCCTGGGGAGAGGGTAGGCTGTGCCCCTGCACCCAGGGAGGTCACGGGTGGAACAGACGCCCACCTGCAGCCCGGGGAGGACCCCGCACCCGAGCAGGTATCTGCACCCAAAGGAGGCTGGGACGCTGAGGGCAGCCCGTGCTGGAGCAGTCTGATGCTGGGGAGGCTGCAGCCCGTGGGAGGGACTCCCACTGGAGCAGTTTGTGGCGAACTGTCTCCTGTGAGAGGGACCTCATGCGGGAGCAGGGAAAGAGTGCGAGGAGTCCTTCCCTGAGGAGGAAGGAGCGGCAGAAACAACGGGCGATGAACTGACCACAGCCCCCATCCCCTGCCCCCTTCACCGCTCAGGGGGAAGGAGAGAGAAAAATTTGGAACAAAGCAGACCTCGGGAATAAGGGAAGAGTTGGGGTAAAGATGTTTTTAAGATGTTGCATTTCTCACTGTCCTGCCCTGATCAGTAAATTAAGTGCTGTTCGTGGAGGTGTTTAAATTAAATCAATGTTCTTTTTCTTCCCCTAAGGAGTCTCTCTTTTGCCCATGAGTCATCCCTCCCTGTCCTTGTCTCGATTCCTGAGCCTTCTGTTTTATTTTCTCTTCCCCATCCCTGAGGGGGAAGGAGTGATCAAGCGGCTGCGTGGTGCCCGGTTGCCCTCCAGGCTCAAACCGTGCCGAGGGGACTGAACTCTGTTACCCTTCTGAGGGTGGCAGAAGTGGACACCCAGGGTGAGATGAAGCCCAGTGCGACACGCGCGCAGGAGCTGCTCCGCTCCGGGACTGAGCCATACACAGGCTCTGCCCACCAGGCAGAGGCCCCGCACCCCCACGACTCGTCCCGGCTGAGCAGCCCAGGCCGAGTCCCACGTGGAGATCTGGGTGAAGGCCCAGTCAAACCCATTTTCCTTCCCTCTGCCCTGGGAGAATCGGGGCACGGTCCTGGCTTAGGGTGCTGCTGTGATGGGAACCACAGGCACCCTGGGGGTGCAGAGCTGGTAGCCAGTGCATCCCCAGGAACAGGCATTTAATAAACCAAGCCAAAGCCATTCATTGTCTTGGATAATTGGCCAGCCACTTTGGGTAATTCAGTAAACTGCTTATAATTCAGGGGTGAGGAGAGGGCCTCTCCCCAGGGCTCACAACCACCTCTCCTGCCCATCGGTGGGAGGACGGGGCTCTCGTGGGACGCAGGTGAGATGTTGGTTTTGGGAGGAGAAGCCTGGCCCTGGGTGCATTGGCAAGAGGAGCTGGGCCACCTGTGTGCGCTCAGGATGCACCACGTGGCTCTGCCCTGTGTTCACAGCCCGGGGGCAGTGGGGGAACGTGTGTGGGGCACAGGGGAAGGATTTGCCCTCTGATGTGGGACCATACCTAGTCAGTGGGCTCCCGGGGGGGATGGGATTCACCTGTCCCCTGGGTGGGATGGGGAGAGGGGCCCCCGGCTGCAGGGCAGGCAGTGGTGGGGAAGGACCAACAGCTGGTAGTGCTGCTTTCCAGTGAGCAGTGGGAGGAAACCGGTGCCCGCCAGGCCACAGTGGGATTTAGTCACCTGCAAGCTGAGCTTGTAGGTGAAGAGCTGCTGGGGGGGGGCAACACACGGGTCCTGGTGTCAGCCTGGGACCACGGTTAAGCCTCTGCTGTTGGAGACTGTTGGGAAGTCTTGGAGGGGCTGAACCCTGTGGCAGGGACCCCTGCCCTCACCCCCAGCACCTACACCCACTCCCTCGTACCCACGTTGACACCCACCCTCTCTACACCTCCGCTCTGTTTTCCACCCCGTTTCTCATCCACGAGGAACCTCCTTCCCTCCGGGCGTGGCCCAGCCTCTTCCAGCCATCCTCACCCAGAGCCGTCCTGCCCCACCACCTGCCCGCCCCGGCAGCATCACCTCTGGGCACCTCTACACCCCCCCTCAACCCCAGACCCTCTCACCGCGTCCCCCCGCGCGCCCCACCTCCTGCTCAGGGATTCCACTGCAGGCTGGCTGATGGATCCCGAGATCATCCAGCTTCCCAGGAACAGGGCTCAGCAACCGAATCTCTCCCCGCCCCGGAGCCTGCGCTGCAGCTGAAGCGTCGTCGCCCTTCTTACACCACCTCACCCCGTGTGGGCAGGGTGTTTATACACCCGCGGCCAGCCCTGGCCCAGGCAGTGGTCCCACAAGCAGCCTGTCGAAGAACGGCACTTTTAACAGCTCCTCTGAATTCATTTTACAAGTCACAACAATGCAGAAATGTACAGACATTTACAGGGCACTGTACAGGCAGTTTCTGTCATATATTAGTGCTCTTGCTATATACATATAGTACAGCCTTGTGGGAAGTCTCTGCACAGGCAAGGAAACCTGCACCCCCGTGCAGGGCACCCCAAAATGGAGCTGTTGCCCTGGGGCTGCTGAATAGGATGGGCCTACTCAGGTCGATTTGATCAGAGCTCAGCCCTGAGTCGTCCTGGGGGGTGACACCACCCGGGGCAGAGCTGGGGACCCCCTTCCTTTGCTTGCCCCAGGCTCTTTTAGAGAGTTTCGTGGGACAGCGTGCCCCGCAGAGGTGCGCTGGAGGGAGTGGGAGCAGCCTCCACTGCCGTGGCATTTCCACCCCCCTGCTCCTCCTGCCTCAGTGGCACCCACAGCTCCCGGCCACCATGTCATCGTACTGCTTGAGGACCACGTTCTCATCATCGTCAAAGTAGAGGAGGTTGATGGAGTAGAGCTTGTCGGGCACGCAGCAGGGGCTGCTGACGCCCTCGCTCAGCTTGAGGGCGTTGATGATGGACTGCACGGTGGCGTGGTTCGTCGGGCGCATGTTCTCGCCCAGCGGGAAGGGGCAGGAGCCCTTGCAGTGGAAGGCGTTGTACCCCCGCGGCGAGATGATCCAGCCGGACCAGCCGATCTCCTCAAAGTCCACGGACAAGGGATGCCTCTGGCAGGGCTGGAGCCGGTCCAGTGAGCGCGTGCTGCGTGGCCCGGTCAGCTTAGGCACCGACATCTCGGGGGGGAGAACGGGAGCCTGAGGCCCTAAATCTGCCAAAAAGGAGCGCCCAATGCCGTCAGCCACTGCACAAGCCTGAGGGGAGGGAGAATGCGGCGCGGCTCCCCAGGGTCACCCCTCCCCGCAGGTTTTGTTTGCAGCCATCTGGTGCAGCGAGCCCTTTGGCCACAGCCTGTCACCGACCCCGGCAGAGCCACCAGGAGCTGACAACCTCGCAGCCCCATGGCTGCACTCATCAGGGCAAGCAAAAGCCAGATTTACACCTGTAAGCCTGCACCCCTGCACAGACTCAGCCAGGAGGGAGATGGCCTCTCCCCCTGGCCAGAGAACGAGCCTTGCATTTGAAGGAGCCCACGTGCAGGGAGCACCCCAGCGCCCACGGGCAAAGGGACGGTGGCACTGAGGGAGCCGTGCCGGAGTGCGTGGGACCCACCTGGGAAGCCAGCCACGGGCAGGGATGCTCCCCGGCGCCCGTCATCTGTGAACAGGACCAACATGGGCTTCTTGCTCTCGTGGGGGTCACTGCTGGATGCAAACTGCAGTGGCGGGGGGCCGAGCGGACCCCCGCCCAGGCCCTGGACTGTCACCAGCAAACCCTGGTTGCTGCTTTCGTCTTCAGTCCAGTCACGAACCTGGGGAACCAAACTGGTGTCACCGCAGGCCAGGACAGGCACCGCGCTGACGTCCCCGCAGCAGTGCCAGGCCAACAGACCCGGTGCCCCGACATCAGCGGGGTGGCATGAACCAGGACCCCCCCTCCACGGCCACACGCTGACGCCCAGCCATGGGAAGGGGCTGTGCTGCTCCAGGGCTGGGGCACAGGGGTGGATGTTGTGGCAGGAGCCAGCACTGGTGTTACCCGTGGAGCAGTGGGACTGGCCTGGGGCAGGATGGAGCAGCCCCTTAGGGCCCTTGGCAGGGCTCTTGCCCCTGCTCCCAGAGGCTGTATCCCCCCCATGTTGCTGCAGAGATTACAGAGAGGAAATGGCATGGGAGTCGAAAAAGCTGCAGGGGGTGAAAGGGGTTAAAAAAGCTCCTGCACACAAACCCCCAGGGTTCGCTCTGTGCCACCCAAACTGGGGAAAAGCAACTCACAGCCTGTGTGATGGCAAAGACCTCCCAGCCCGAGCCCTGCAGCGAGACCAGCCTGGCTGCCAGCAGCTTCTTCCCTCCGGGGGTGTCCAGCTCGCTCTTCTCCAGCACCTGATAGACACTGACCTAGGGAAGGCAGCAAAGAGCCGTTAGCACCAGTGTGTCCTGCCCGAGGGGAAAGACCCTTTTTTACTGGGGAAGAAAACAAGGTGGGAGATGGGGGAGCCTGGATTTCTCACAACCCGCCTTGGCCCGTGCGTGCGCAGACCAGAATACCCAAGAACCTGCCACGGTTAGATTATTGTGATTCACCGTGCAACACGCCGACGTTCGGCCTTAGGAGTTTCACAGAGCCAGGCCATGCTCCTGCTGCAGGCGAGTGACCGCAGCGCGCCACTGGCGTCCCCATTCCCACCCCCACCCTGTCTCCATCCCCCTGTCCATCTGGCCCCCATCCCATCCCCATTCCCACCCCCACCCTGTCTCCATCCCCCTGTCCATCCGGCCCCCGTCCCGTCCCCATTCCCACCCCCACCCTGTCTCCATCCCCACCCTGTCTCCATCCCCCTGTCCATCCAGCCCCCATCCCGTCCCCATTCCCATCCCCACCCTGTCTCCATCCCCCTGTCCATCCGGCCCCCATCCCATCCCCATTCCCATCCCCACCCTGTCTCCATCCCCCTGTCCATCCGGCCCCCATCCCATCCCCATTCCCATCCCCACCCTGTCTCCATCCCCACCCTGTCTCCATCCCCACCCTGTCTCCATCCCCCTGTCCATCTGGCCCCCATCCCGTCCCCATTCCCACCCCCACCCTGTCTCCATCCCCCTGTCCATCCAGCCCCCATCCCATCCCCATTCCTATACCCACCCTGTCTCCATCCCCCTGTCCATCCGGCACCCATCCCGTCCCCATTCCCACCCCCACCCTGTCTCCATCCCCCTGTCCATCTGGCCCCCATCCCGTCCCCATTCCCATCCCCACCCTGTCTCCATCCCCCTGTCCATCCGGCCCCCATCCCGTCCCCATGCCTGTCCTAGCTCCATCCCGTCCCCCTCCTCACCTGGCACAAGTGGTGCCTTTTGGGCCCGTTGGTGGCCCTCGGCCAGAGACGGAAGAGATGCAGCTCTGCCGTCAGGATCTTCTCACTCTTGGCCACACTGGAGAGGACAAAGAGGAACCGCATCTTCTCACCATGAGCTGGAGGGAAGGACAGGTTGAGGAGCCAAAGCGGGGGCAGCACCTCCTCCGGCCACGCTTCGCACCTTCCCACAGCCCCGTCCCCAGCACCACGGGGAGCCCCCCCCCTTACTTTTATCCAAGAAGCTGCGGACCGTGTTGCCCTCCAGGATGTCAGGGTTCTTGGTGACACCGTCTGCGTTGGCGACAGTGTTGAACAGATCCACCATATACTGGGGCGGCTGCTTGAAGTGAGCCGGGGGGGCCGGAGGGTCCTCCATGCCAAAGACTTCCAGGAGCCTCTTCAGCGCCTCAGCCCGCTGGCTCGCCGCGCTGGCCACACTCGGGCATGCCGGCTTGGCCAGGGCCAGCACCAGCGCCAGCACCAGCACCAGCGCCAGCAGCGGGACGGTCCCCAGCATGGCTCTGCTGTCCCTGCCCCAGCCGACTCCCCCCTGCCTGCCCAGCGCGGCATTTATAACTCCCTGGAAAGATGGATTGGAGTCAAATATGCACAGGAGCAATCAGGAAGGCAAAGAGAGCTAATTGCCATGCTAACAAGGTGCGAAGCTGGGCTCCCGGCGCCCTGCACCAATTATCCCCAGTACACAAGCAGGAGAGCAGGCGGGGGGGAGGGATGGCTCTCCCGGCACTCCCCAGGGCTAGCGGGGACACCGGGCTCTGGGGCTGCCAAGGCCCTGCCTGGGCTGCATTTGCTCTCTATAGGAGACTAACTGGTTTTTAATGATGGCGCTAATGGGACAAACAGGAGGACCTTTGTGTGGAGGAATGCAGCTCCCCCCTCGGACAGCCCGTCGGGCTGGATGAGCAGCCCCTTCCCATCGCTGCATCCCCTCAGCAGCCCGGGCTGCCAGGAGCAGAGGGCAGCCCCCTCGCTCGGTGCCACACCGCTGTCCTCACCCCGTGCCCCTGCCAGGGGCCTGGGGGCCCTGCATGCGGCAGGGGCAGCCCAGGCTGCACGTCCCCCGCCACTCCCCGCCGCAACGCCCGCACAAGGGGGCCCGCCGAGCCGCGCCCGGGGGGCCAAGTGGGTCTCCAGGAGAGAACCAGTGGTCCCCGGGGCTGCAGCTTCCATCCCCAGCACTGCCAGGCCCGGGGCTGGAGCGGTAGCTCAGCAGCAGGAGGAACCAAACCAAAATTAAACTCTTTTTTTTTTTTTTTTTAAATAGCTAATTGGCTTCCTGAGGAGTAAAAGGCATTTGCTGCTAATTCCTGAAGGCTCAATGTTAATGAGATATCACAAGAACCCTACGGACTCTGGATGACAGTATAAACCCCAATTCCTTTCCTCCTATTCTCTAATCACAGAGAAACTGGCTTGGTGAAGGTGGACATGTTGACACAGGGCACTTGGACCCTGCATTGACGTTTGCCTTAATGCCATGTCACTGAACAGAAGAAACCTGCACAATACTCACCAGATAAAAAGAGCAGGATTCGAAAAGCCTGCTGGATCCTCCGGGGACCAGGGGAACCCCCGTGACGAGGCCCGCAGGGACAGGCTCTGCAAGAGGCTTGGCACAGAGAGGGGGAGGTGCAGGAACGGAGCCAGCACCATCCGTCTGTCTGTCTGCCAGCAGGACAGAGCGATGCTCCTTGGCCCCGCGGGTACCCGGCCAAAGCACTGCCGGGCCAGCGCAACAGGAGACAAGCCGAAGGCTACCTGCCCAGTTGGGGTCTATAATTTATTCTAACCCAGTGCTTGGCAGGTGAAAGGGCTGTTAATTACCCAGAGCAGGCAGGGAGGCTCTGACAGGCTGGAGTTAATTGATAAAGGAAACTATCTGTATCCTCTGGATCCCTTCCTCTCCCGGCCGGCCAGCGGCACGTCCTGCAGGAGAACCGGGGTTGCCTGCAGAGGGGAGACCTCTGCCCCGGCACGCCTACCTACCCTGCTTCCGACTCCTGCTCCACATTTTGTAAATGGGAACGGCTGGGGCCCTGCAACCCCCGGCCCGGGCCAGCCGGCCGCATCCCTCTGCTTGCGCTGCGTCCTCCTGGGATGCCTGGGCACAGATGGGGGGGCCCTGGAGCTGCACAGCAGAGCCCCAAGCAGCTGCGAATCGCCCATGTTTATTTTACAAGCTGCCAAGCATTTTGTAGAGGATTCATTTATACAAGCCCCGTTTAAAATAGCTTTTATTCCAAAAATAGCCTTCTCTCATTTACATATACTACAGACAGTCTGACGGGGCCTTGCCGGAGCCTCACCTGCAGCTCCCCAGCCCCCCCAGCCCCGCACTTGCCGTGCTGCCGGCAGTGGCAGGGCGGATGCGGCCGCGGCGGCTCCCGCGCGCGCCATGCCGCTGAGGGGCACAGCTTCTGCCCAAACCAGACGTTTCTCTCCGCTTTGTGACTCCCTGCAGTTAGAAACAAACTTGGCACGGCCCCGGGTCCCCCACACCTCAGGGCCCTGAGTTCCATCACCTGGAAAGAGGGCAGATGCCCTGGACTAGGGCAGGGGGAAGGCAGGCAGCTTTCCTCCAGCTGCATCTATTCCTCACTCCCGGTGTAACGCAGCAAGCCGTCTCCTCCCTCTCCGACTGTGCAAAAGCAGGGGTAATTTCTTTATTTCCCTGCTTTATTTGCTTCCCTTTGCATTTGCCACGTTTTTGTGTCTGCAGGCAACACAAAGTGCTGCTCCCCTGGCCTGAAACAACGGTCTGGGCCCACCCTGCCCCACAACATCCCCCTCTTCCCCCTCCTGCCCCACAGAACTGCCAGCAGGCGGGTGGCAGGAATAGCACATCCCAGGCTGGAGAAAGCTGCTATCAGGGCCCATCTGTGTCTGCTATCGTGGGGGACCACAAGCTCTATCACCAGCTGCCCAACGGGCCAAATTCGGCATCACCACCCGGTTATTCTTGGTCCCCTGAAGCAGCAGAGCAGTGCGCTGCTGTAGCACCACTGCAAACGCTGCTCTGCTTCAGCTTTGTCCCTGCACGGGTAGACACAGCCCAGAGGGTGAGCTGCGGGTGCTACCCAAAATCTGCTTCTGTGTTACCTTCTAGGCCCTGGCCCGGGAGCAGCAGATGCGCTACCCGAGAGGAACGGGAACAGCTCAAACCTGCCTCTGAATGTGCTGATGTGCTGGGGAAAGAGAACTCCTGGCAGCTGTGCTTACCTAAGCAAGCAGGGATCCCCTGAGGAGCAGCTTCCCAAGCATCTTCCCACATCTATTTCCTGCAAAGATTTGCAAAACAAAGGCATGAAAATCGCCTACAGCACCTCACTGGGGACACCCCAGGGGACCAGCCACCAGGCACTTGGCCCTCCTCCCACCCTCCATCCTCAGGCTGAACACACACCCCTGAGAAAGGGCAGCAGCCAGACAAAGCTTGTAAGAAGTATATTGGGGGCACACCAGTGCTTTTTGAGTCAGAGATCCCTGTGCACAAAGATATGTTGAAGTAGAGAGTAGAGTCTCTGTTGAACTGAGCTTAAGACACACTTAAAGATTAAATAATTTTTAAAATAAATATCTCACTGCTCTCTTAATTATTTTTTGAAGAAATCGTCACCCCAAAGAAAAGGCCATTTGTTACTTTATGGCACTGATGTATACACAGATTAGTAGCAGTAAAATATATTTTATAGCGTAAGATAATATAAATGCGAGATTTTACCAGTATAGTTTGTTGCCAGGGTGTGCTTAGCTCTACCAGGGTGAAGCTGCCCGTGTCAAAGCACCCACCTGGCTGTTCAAAACCCACACGTGGGCCCAGCAGCACAGCTGAGCCCACCAGAGAGGAGGCCAAGCTGCAGGAAACCAACCTCGAGCTGTTCCTCCCTGCGTCCCGCAGAGCTGTGCACAATTTCATAATAATATTCCACCTGGGAAACGCGATAGCATTTTTCCTTCATTTGGCAGTTCTCCGGTGTCCGAACCACCTCCCCACCTTGTGGGTTTTTGACTAGGACAGTGTTGAACTTTGTGGGCACGCAGAAAAGTCCGTCTGCTAGGAAACAAGAAGGGAATTTAATCTGGGGCTGCACCTGAGGCCACTCTGGCTGCAGCGTCTTCACCAGGGGTCTGCCATGCAGCAGATGCAGCGCCAGGCTCCGGTGTCCAGCAGCCAGGGTGGAAGGTGCCGCTTGCTGTGTGAGGGTCTCCAGCTGAAAGTTTGGGGTTCATTCCTTCACCAGCTGAGGGCCTCAGCAACAGGCTTTGTTCCTCCATCTGTTTCAGACCACAGGGCAAAGAGAGGTTATTCTGAGTGCAGCTTGTGAATCCTGCACCTGACCCTGTGAAAGCCCCATCTCTGGGGAGACAGCCTGAGCTAATACACATTAGCTTTGAGAAAAAGTGTATTTGAACATAAAATATTCATGGCAGCACTTTTTCCAGAGACTTGCTCTCACACCAGGGCGCTGGAGAACATTATTTAACATTTACTCATTCAGCATTTCTCTCTGGACTTGCCAGGGGGCTGTGCCCTGCATGGGCTTCTTGGATGCTGGAGCCAGTGTCACCAGCTCTCCTGGAGACATGTTCCCCCAGGCACCTCCAAAGGATTTGCTCTCGGCTCTCCATGCAAGCAGACAAGCTGGCTGGGGCTGGGGTGATGGAGGCAGCAACTCCCCACGACAGCAGGAGTTATTACATCTGCCCTACCCCCACCGTGGGATGGAGGAAGGCTGGTAGAAGGGAAGGCAAGCAATGGCCTGGCTTCTGGGGGCACAGGACCAAGTCCTGCTTTGCCTTTTCTCTCCCTACTCGAGCTTCAACTTAATGAAAAATTCCCAGGGCAAAAAGGAAGTTATGTTTGGACTTGACATACCTAGTCTGCTTGTTAAGGAAGCTGTGCAGGGGGCAGGGCGAGGGGGGCTTTGGGTGGACGCGCTGAAAGCCTGCATCTTTGCTCCCGTGTCACCACCAAACCAGGACACGCGGCCTCTGTGGCAGGTCCTGGCTGGCCCAGGCAGGGGCTGAGCAGCTGCGGAGGAGATAGAGGCTCCTCCAGCAAGAACTCACATCCAGCTGGAAGGAAACCTGCCCAGGCTGTCCTGCCTGGCTCAGTCCGAATGTATGCTTCTGCGCAGAAAGAAACACTTTATCTGCTACACCTCCCAGTTTTTCTCTCCCTCACCAAGTAAATGAGGATTAAAATCTCCATGGCATGAGCAAAAGAAGGGGAAGAAGGATAGCTAAATTGACGGCTAAATCAGTCTCGGGTTTTGCCTCTAAATAGGTCCTAGTCTTGCCCTGTCCCAGCCCTTGGGTGCAGGTCCTTCAGGGTTTGTGTTTGGTTCTTGGCTTTAAAATTGTTGTGAGTTTCCTGTCCCCTCCCAGTTACTTCATCAGCTGCTGAAGCAGACTTGTTTGTTCCAGGATTGGGCTGTGTTTTCAGGGGAGGGAAAGGCATTTTCTGACAGCAAATCTCTCTGGGATGCCTTACCAGGAGAACACAAAATGACAACTCATTTCTGGAAGCCAGTACTCCTGGGTGAGATTTTAACATCCTTTTCCAGGCCCACTGCTCCTCTGACATCGCCAGTCTTCAACACGACACTGAAAGTGTCAGCCTGACTTTACAGGGGAAAATCCAGAAGGAAAGTGCCGAGACCTGCCCTAGGGCAGAGCAAAGCTGGGGGCAAGTCCACACTTCCCAGCCCTGGGCCATTATCACTGAATGAGCCACTGTCCATTAGCCACCCTGGGGACAACAGTATCGTCCAGCACCTCCCAGTCACACGTCTGGGAAGTAAATGCTGATTCTCCCACCTCTGGAAAAGAGCACTTCACACGGCCTAATTGCCTTTTCCACTTACTGTGTCCTGCAGCTGGATGACACAAGCCCAGGGCTTCAGGAGCACTGATGCCTGTGTGAGGACCCTCCTCCAGCTCTCAGAGGAGGGGACGCACATCAACAGAGCCCCTGGGAGTTTTGTTTTCTCAGCCACCAGACTGGCTCCCCCAGCTCCTCTAGCTCAGGCCCCTTCACTGCTTTTCAAGCTCACATTAAGACTTGCTCTGGTCTCTGTCCCTCTCTAGTGGCTGTTGTACAGTCATGTCACAGGAGCTGCCAGGAAGGTTTTAATGGGAGGGTTTTAGATGCAGAAATGCCAATAAAATGACATCAACAAATTCCAGGAGAACTGATTTATCACACAGTTGTGGAAAATAATTTCAACACTACTTTCCATTCTGATGAAAACAGATCAGCTCATCTTCACTGACGTGACTCTCAGGTTATTTTATGTGTGAACTCCCAAGACAGCACACCAGCTCAGGATGAAGCAGTTCAGCTTTATCCCAATGGAAGGTTTTGACCTGTCTGGAATGATTTAGTTTGGAGTTTCCACTTCCAAGTGGGTTTTGAAACATCAGTGTAGTTCACTGATGCCAAGATGAAAGGGCATTTCAGAGTGTCAAAAGGAAACTCCATATTTCAGTTGTTGCTAAGTGGTCTGTTTTCAGCAGAGCTTTTATCATCAGGTTGTTTTCCTCGCTTTGAGTGGGTGGGTTGGAGCAGAGACCCACAAGGTCCCTCCCAGCCTGGGTTACTCTGATTCTATGATCTCTGGTTAGAGGACATTTCCTCGTAACATGAGGCGACTGTATAGCCATCCTCACGCCATGCACAGGGGCAGAGAATTACCATTTCACCTGCAGACCTGTGCTGTTAGCGCCCAATAACAGAAGGGAAAAGAAAACCCAAACCCTGACAGCATATAGAACAGAATCCCATTCCCACCTAAGGCCACGAGGGTTTGTGTAGCAGACCAGAGCGCTGTTAGATCGTGCTCTGAGCTCTGACATTGGCGCTGGTCACACAGAAGGGCTCAGCCCCATATTCCCGGAGGGAGGGGAGCTCCCCATCGTCCCCATACCTGCACTGTAGGTTGGGGCAGAGCATTTCCCCACATCAGCTGTGGCCTCCCAGGGAGAGTCTGGAAAGAAGGTTTTCAGAGCTGGGAGACAGAGACATTCCTCAGGGCAGGTGCTGCAGTGCTGCAGTGAGAGCCATCGACCACCGCCACCTCCAGGAGCCGCCCCAGGCGCAGAGGGGCAGGCTTGCAGCAGGAACCTGCAGGGCAGGGACGGGGCTGCCGGCCTCAGCGGCAGGTCGGGGCGCCTGACCTGCAGCTGCACACAACACAGGAAGAGGCACATTCACCGGTAAAAGCATATCCTGGAGAACAACTCCTCGCGTCAGCTCCCTGATCAAAATCCCTTCTGACCTAGAACCGACTCAGCTTTCACTCCTCTCTCCCTGCATGGCAGCACTGCGCTGCTTCACATCCATAGCAAGACTATTCCCCAAAACCCTGCTACAGTCAGCTGAACTGCACTGGCTAAAGCAGTCCTCGTCCCACCCCAGGCTCCTGATCTGGAGGGTCAATGTGATGACAGCTCTGTGGAACGAACGTGGACCTGCCTACCTGGAAGATGTCGCACCAGCAGTGCCACAGTGGGGACAACAGTGGGACAAGCGGCAACAAGATTTTTCAGTTACAGACCCCCAGGACACACACATGCAGCACCCTGCAGAGCTTGTTTCCATTCCCTCTCCAGGGTTAGTTATCCTGGTGGAGACGGGACTTCAGGCAATGTCAGCTTTCCTGGGATAAGGACAGCAAAGCAGCCTGTGCATAGATGTGTCCCCAAACGCACGGCTCCTTCTAGTCCCTTCTCAGAGTGACACATGGCATGTGATAAGGGAATGACATAAACACCGCAAAGGCCAGATATTCATCATGAAATCACAGGTCCTGCCAGTTTTGCTCAACCAGGCAGAAAAAGGCCTCCTACATATAAGATACCAGCTCTCGCACACAGCAGATGTGGCTGAAAGAGTTTGTCTTGCTACTGGGCTGGAGGAGGACAGAAATATGCCTGGATGCTGCCTGGAGCAGCTGGGTAGGTGCTGTGATAGCCCTTCAGCTGAGCTCTGGCCCTTCCTCTGCCACGAGCTATCCAACAATGCTGGATTGTTTCCATTTGTCTAGCCTGCATAATCCCCGGTTTGCTGGCTAAAGGAGGACAAGAGGCTCAGTGATGGGTTTTCTACAGTACAGAAGCCAAAACCAGGTATTTTGAAACACATGTAAAATCACAGCCCCAGTCACCCATGCATGACCTTCACCCAGACCCAACCCCTCCTGCCACGGGGATGACACAAACATGCTTTTCTCACCTACTTGCTTCTAAGGAACTCAAGCGTGGAGGAGTGTCTGGAGAGCCCCAGGAGGCCGGGGGGGGCGCAGCTGATCCACCCAGTCAGGCAACTGGACCAGCACTTTCCAACGTCCACACTGACAGGGCTGCCAGAGACATCTGTGAAACACAAGATTGGCAAAAGGATTACTCCTCTCTATTTACATGATGCTGGGGAGGCCCAAGCTCAAACCAGGGCTGAGTATGACACAAACACTGAGCAAAAAGACATGGCCCACCCCTGGGAAGTCTACCTGGGAGAAAGATTTGTTCAGCCTGAGCACCTGCAGAAATTCCAGAAAGCCCTTCACTAGAGCTGCAGATGCATCTACTGTGTTTGCAGACCAGAAGTCAAACATTTCATAATAGACTGATAAGTGCACTACAGAATAAAAAGAATGCAACTAAAAATTCACTAGGAAACTGTAGGTTTTATTTTCTTTAGTGAGCTCATGAAGGTTGGGGTGAGAATATATGAATACATTAATTAGCAAAGGGAAAATGTGAATGCTGAGCTGTCACTGAACTGCAGACCTTGAATGTGCTGAACAAGCCTAAGCACCCAGCAAATTCAGGGCAGAAAGAAACCCAGCTCCCCTTGCCTAGAGCCCAAAGAACCTGCTCACGGAGCTGCTCGAGCTGAAAACAAAACTGCCTCTCCACCCCCTCACCAATCCCAATTTCACAGCTCCCCAGACCTGTTGCATTGACACATTAGCACTACAAGCAGAGGACGGGGAGTTGGGAACGGGTGTTGGAAGAGGAGCGTCATGGAACCATGGCATCCAGGTTTAGATCTGTTTACTCTGCTGTATCTTGAGTTTGCAAAATATCAGTGGTTATTGGCTAATGACTGTTTCTTCTGGAAATCCTTCTAAAATGAGCTATTTTTCCCCAGTAGTGCTGTCCATATTCAAAGGGTTGACTGATGTAAATCCTCATTTCATCATATAATAGGGAAGAAAACTGGCCTTAAAAAGTGCCCACTGAGTAGTTCAATGCCACTGTAATTCATTTGCTTTAACCTGCTAGAGTTGCAGACCCAGTGTGTGCTGCAAAACTTTAATTTTCCATTGATTTAAAAACTGATCTTCAGTGTCAGTGCAAGAGACAGACACCATCACCATGCTGCAGGACACCAGGAAATAAGTAGGGATAGTTTCAGCTCACATTTAGGTTATAGCTGCTGCTAGCTGCCTGAGGATTTCTTTGCCCAGGGGCCAGGTATCAATTTGCAGTGTCTTAGCAATTTCCTGGTGGATGCTCCTCACCCCTAGCAAGGTCCAAGACAGCTGGTCACTTTGCAGAGGACACCAGCTGAAGACACTGTTAACACCTGCTCTCTCATCTCTGCAGCAATACAGGCTGTGTTTATTATTTTTATTGCTATCCATTACCATTTTTACTATGTTAATCTTTATTTACTCTTCTAAAGTTGTTTCCTTTGGAAATGACAAACTGTTACTGCTTGTGACAGTTCTTAAATTGGACATGATCATTTCATAAATCCTACTGTTCACATAAGGACCTGATATTCTGGAAACACTAAAGATTAAATTTGTCTAAGTTTTGCTCTCATGCACTAAAAACAGCATAAGACACTTGGCTATACAGTTTAAAGCCATTTTCACATATCTGTGCTAAAATCAGCTGAAGCTCATTTTATGTAGCCTTACTGCCACTGCAAGGGGAACTGAGACCAAAGGCTACTCCTGAAGGCCACAGACTTTTTTCTGGTGAACAAATGGAGCTATTTCCTACTTTCTCTGCGTGGTAAAGTCAGAACACCCTGTTGTCTTGCTGACAGCCCTTCCAACGTTAATCCCAGGAAGGGGAAGTCAGCAGTAGTCCAGAATTTATGCAGTACCAAATGGAATCAAACGCAGAATTCAAACACATTGCAGCACGCTGGTACAGAAAATGAAGACTCCTTCATGCAGATGAACAGACCTAGAGGGGCTGGGCTCCTCATCAGTTCCTATTCTACGATACATACCTTAAGCGTTGGATTATCTGGGCAAGTTCCCAGCGTATTTCTGTCCTTAATCCCCTGGGAGGAAAGTCACTATGATAATTTCAACATAAAGAAAAGTCGGAGGGATGATGGGCAGGACGTGAGTGGGGAAGCTTAAAGGATCCAGGTTTCTTGTGGGCAAAGGGGGAGCTCACCGTTCCCGACGTGGAGGAAATGTCTCTCCCTCCTGCAACAGCCCCTCTCTGCAAACAGGTTCCCTTGCTCATCCTCCCAGCCGATGGCTCCTGCACCTGCAGTCACAAACCACCAAGCTCAGCATTACCCCACTTATAATTCACCACCTTTCCTGCTCGAGCTGGGAGGAAGCTCTCTGAGTGCCAAGAACAAGTTGCCCTGGTCACCTGTCATCCTGAACCAAACTGCTTCAGCACAAGGAAGAGATTTAGAGTAGTTATAAACAGACATGACCCATCTGACTTCTCGAGACCTGGTCAGTTGGGCTAAACAGCCTATCTGTTTAATTACTCCAAGAAAATGCTGCGTTTAGCAGTGTTTTATCTTAGGACATCACTCCCCTGCTCTCTTCTACTTCCACGTTACTGAAACGCAAGCTCGGGTAAGAGGAGTAATCTCACACAGCACAAAGCAGCTTATGGGCATGAAACTCCCTAAAGATTGCTGCACAGCAGCTTCCTCCGAGACAAATCCTGAATTATTTGCTGAGTGCAGACAATCCTCCATGCTGCTTACAGTGAAGCACCATAGAAAACATACGCCGTGGCCATACAAAAGCATCAGATACAAACGAAGCCCGCGCACAGCCTCGCACCGCGCACCCGCACAAACCCTTTTCTCTCCTATGCAAGAGCCCAAAGCAGTGAGAAGGAAAAAGGAACTTACTGGCAAAGATGGGAGCATGCAACAGCCCTGTGAAGATTACAGCTAGTGTGTCCTGCATTCTGCACCTTGGGAGACACAAAAAGGTCTCCAGCACCTCCCACACTTATCCCGGGCCCTCCCTCAGCAGGGGAGGTGAACAGCTCAGCGACAAATGGGTTCGCATATTGCCCGTAAGTGTCTGCAGACTGTGATCTGAACAGGCACCTAAGCAGCCTGGGCAGTGACAGCATCTCTCCCACAACGTCTGCGGGGATCGGGCTTTGAGCAAACTTCAAAGTGTTTCTTGAGAGCAACCGGTTTTGTTCCCAGCCTGGGGAAGCTCCCTTGGGGGTCTCTGTTTTTACCACCACTTTCAAACTAATTAAGTTTGTGGTGACTCGGAGTCACTTTCAAGTCCCCTCATCTGAAAGGAACATGCATCCTTCATCCTCACTCATCGTATGTGATGGCCTTTTTATCCAGAGACAGCCCTCTTTTGTTCCTCTACACCACCAAATCTGAGCCAAAGCTGGCTTTTTGATAAAGATGGCAACACGGTAGGACTCGGGCACATCAGCAATGACAGCACGTTCCCCACGACCACGCAGCAAGGCCTGCAGCTCTGCTTTTGCCTCTTCTTACTGTGACTGAGCCCTGGAGCCGAGGAGGCATCTTTCTTTCTAGCGTGTTAAATACACGTAGGAAAGTACATGTAACCCAAGTCATGGGAACAGTAGAGGCACAGGTGGTGCTCGTGTGCTGCAAGGGACTCGCGGACATGCTAGTCGAGGGCAGCAGTACGTCCTGAACACTTGTTGCATGTGGCTCTTAACTACGGAAGTCAGGATCTCTGCAGGGACTGGGGCAAGTGCATGTGGCAGGGAGCAGATCCAGTTTCAAGGGAAATTTTTTTTGCTGGATGTCGTGGTTTGGTACTCAACCCAGGACACTGGATTCAGTAATGAGAGCACACAAGAGAACAGTGATGGAAGCGTAATGCATCCGAGACCATTCTGGCATTCAAAAAAGGGCTCTGTGGAGGGGTTGGGTTTGGTTTTCTTTTTTTTTTGGCTACAATTACTTACAGGTGCAGCAATCACAGAAATTTATGGAAGCTGTACACCCCTAGGAACAAGCCAAGTCTCCCTGGAGCTCATATATGATTCCTGGTGGGCAGCTGGGCTTCACTGGGATAGATGCCTTGAAGAAACAATTAGCAAAAGCAAAATTCTATTAGAAGGCATCCTTTCAAAACTATGCCATTTACCACAGTGCTACAGGAACACCATCCCCGTCATCCCAGCAGCACAGAGGAGAAATCAGGACAGTTGTCCACAAAAAAAATAAGAAATTTAATTGTGTTCGGCCATGAAACAAACATATACACAGAAAACTACATTTCCATCAAAAAAATTCACCATGCCTGGGCAGCTGAGCCAAACCACTCTCCATTCACAGCTTTGTGGTGCTGCAGAGTACCTGGAGAGGCAGGAACCGCTACTCCAAGCGACTGCTGTGCAACCTAGCCAAAGCTGGAGAGCAGTCTGCACCACAGCAGCAGGGCACAGTTAAGTGACAGACAAGATATTTCTGAAGAAATACGCATTTTAAATAAAGAACTTACAACAACTTAAACTTTATACAAAATATTATGGCTGCCATTTCAGTATTTCAATTCGAGGAACTATTTTTGAGCTCTCAATGTCCTGTTTTCCACCCCACACCCATCTCTGCAGTCTTTTTCTTCAGAGAGCTCCATCTCTGTCCAGCTCAGTCCAAAGTACCTAAAAATTAAAAAAAAAAAAAAATAAAAAAAATTGTAGTCTCAGGAATCAGAAATGCAGTTATGTGAACAAATGAGACTTGTTCACCAACTGCCAAAGGAACCAGCAATAACTTTCTAAAGTTTAAGCAAATTACACACAATTAAAATGAAACCTAGCTAAAAAGTATTGTATGTGTCTCAGGGTCCACCCAATTTGTGTTTCAACTCTCTGAGAGGGCATAACAAGTTACACTTAATTATTAAAGATATGGAAATAGAGGGCTCTACAGATGGTTAAGTTCTTCCTCTCCCAGGAAGGAGATTGCACAAAATATTGAAATCAAGTGAAACCAAGTAGAAACTCACCTTCCAAAAAAGCAAATTCATCAATAGCTTCAATGGCATTATCTGCAAAGCAAATCGAAAACAATTAACATAGATAAACCAACTCCATCTTTGCATCTGCTTCAAACAGCAGCATTTGAAAGTACATCACAGTACAGTGACCAATTTCAATTTCAAATCAGTTTACTTGTTTTGGAGCTGGTGTGTGAAATTATTAGTGTAATATTTGGTAGTAGTTTGGAAAGATTCCCTCCATCCTAGCAACCCTTTGCTAAGGATAGCACAGAACATGCTCTCGTACCCAGGTCTTTTCTCTGCAGAGTTTTCCTTCTTCCTTGCTGAGCATACATGTAAGCATCTTTGGCTATGGTTTCAACAAACAACTCCTGCAATACAAAAACAAGACAGTTTCACACGGGTGATGAGAGAGGGAAAAGAGAATATCCCGAGGAAAGGTCCAACAAGACTTGAGGAAGAAACCAGAATCTCCATCTTAAAAGGTCTCCTTCTCAATAAATACCTCTGAAAGTAACAAATGTAATTGCTGGACAGTGATGCGTGTGAGAAGTAACAGGGGAGGAGAGAAGGCAGAGAGTGCACTGGACAGATGGTTTTTCATCTGGGAGACCAGCTTCACACCAGCTGCTCCCGGGCACCTTCTGAAGGAGGGAAGGCGTCCTGATGCTTCCACACAACGGCAAAGCCACCCCGCCAAACGCACCTCGCCTGTGCAGCGGGAGGCACTTCCCAAATTAAAAACCAAACAAACCAACAAACCAAAAAAAAACCCAAACCAAACCAAAACCAACAACCCCCAAAATGTTAAACGTTGCTCTGACTGCACAACCCTCAGCGCAGTCAGGGTGAGCGGGACACCCACGCGAGCGGGCCCGGAGCCCTCCGGCCGCCACGAACGCCCGGCCCCGGGGAGCGGGTTTCCACCGCCACCATCGCATCGCGGCGGCGACCTCGGGGCGCCTCTTCCCGCCGCCATCTCGGACGAGGCCGCTCAGGCGGCCCCTCCCGCGGCTTTCTGCCGGGGGGGCTCCGGTGCCAGGGGCAGGGCCGGCCGGCGGGGCGAGGCGGGGGGCTCCGGTCCCCCTCCCGCAGCGGCTCTGCCTGCTGACCGCGCAAGGCGTCGGCTGGGAGAGGAAACCCCTCACACCCTCCACAACAAAATAAAACAACAACAACAAAATCTGAGAAAAAGCCGAGCTAGCGGCTCCACCCCCCCGGGAGGCTGCGGCTCCGGGGGTCTCCAGCGCCGGCCGCCTCGGCCCAGGGGCCTGGCAGCAGCGCCCGCCCTCCCGCGCCCACCGGGCGCCGCCGCCGCCCCTCACCGTGGCCCGCGCCAGGACGAAGACGGCCTCCTGGCTGGCCAGGCTGACGTCCGGGTCCGCCTTCACCAGCGCCTTCACCCGCGCCAGCGGCAGCCGGGCCAGGCGAGCCGGCCCCGGCCCCGCCGCCTCCTCCCCCGGCCCCGGCCCCGGCCCCGGCCCCGCCGCCTCCGCGCCCGGCCCCGGCCCCGGCCCCGGCCCCGGCCCCAGCGCGGGCCCCGCCGCCGCCGCCATCCCGCGCCGAGGGCCGCGCCTGCGCGGGGCGGGGCGGCCGGGCCGGGGGGAGGGCTGCCCGCAGAGCCGCCCGGTCCCCCGAGCCCGGGCCTCCACCCCCCCTTCACCCCCAAACACGGCGCCGGAGCTTCCTGGCACCCCCATCCCCCTAAACGCAGCCCTCCTGCCTCCTCTTCGCCCCCAGGCCCCCCCGAACACGGGCCCTGAGCTCCCCATCATCCCCATTATCCCCTTAAAAATGGCCTTCAGGGCCTCCCCACCCTTCCTCCCCCAAACGCGGCTCTTCGCCCTCCCTCTCCCTCCCCACGGGGCTCTGCCCTCCGCCTGGCAGCGGCGCTGGAGCGGGCGGTGATGGGGACCCGACTCTCGGAGGAGGTGGCCGCCCACCCCGTGCCCCTCCACTGCCTCCCCACCGGTCCTGGGGGGGGCACCCAAGCACGCCCCCCCCCCGCCCCATCCCAGCAAACCTTCCAGTGACCCCCCGGGGCCGTGGAGCTGCCACGCTCAGCCCACCCCAGCCCCCTCCACGCCCTCGATGCGCCGCCGTATCCTTCACACCCCGCCATCCGCAGTCGGGACCCGCTGCGGGCGCGGCTGCCGGGCCCCCTCCCTCCCCACAGGGCTGGGGGGGCCCGGCCCCGGGCCGGGATCCCGCCGCCCGCCCGGTATTGCTGCGGGGCTTGCCTCACCCGCGCGGGCCCGCCCTGCCCCTGGGGCAATAAATGCCGAAACCGGGACGTTTCAACACAGGGATGGCCCAACTCGGCCCGGCGCTGTGCAGAGCGTTTCCCCTGCTTCCCAGTGGAGGTCAGCTCTTCAACGGAGCAAAACTCTCCCGGTTTGGGGTATGCTGGAAAGCCACAGCCCCCTCCCCAGCCCTCCCGCACCCCCGCAGAGCTCAGCCCTGCCGCCCTCACAAGTCACCTCCACCTTCCGCAGGTCCTCCGGGCTCTCAAGTCCTGACCCGCAGCGGGTTCACGTCGGCCACCATCAAATGAGAACGTGACCCGCGCTCCTGGCCCTCGCGGCAGCCTGGCCCTCACACCCCACAGCCGCTTTCCGAAGCCCAGGCTCTTTTCTGGATGAGCCTGTCTCGTGGGCAGCAGGGGTTGGTGGGCTTCAAGCTTCCCAACGGCAGCGGGGTCCAAGCCAGTGGTGCATCGGGAGCTGCCGCTCCTCCTTCTCCCCTTCCTCCGCCTCCTCCTCCTCCTGCCCGCGCTGTTTCATGGTCAGGCTACAGCGACTTCCTGGCCTTGCGCTCAGCTTCTCGCCAACTGTTAGGAGCGAGCTGCTGGTTTCAGAGCAGGGGGACTTCGGGGAGAATTACCTTCCACAAATCATCCTGCTTGGGTGCCTCTGGTGGTCTTTAGAAGAGAGGTGAGCACGCAGGAGAGTGTCCGCTGATGGAAAATGGTGAGTAAGAACCAGACTTGGGCTGAGCTGGACCTGGGGACAGGGCACGGGGAGCAGAGCTGAGTCTCCTGCTTGAAAAGGCTTTGGCTGTGTCCTTGTGAGGGGCTGGATCCAGCCGAGACCCTCACTCCTCCTGGTAGACAAAGTCCTCCTCTATGTTGGAGCTGGTCAGAGCTTCAAAGGTCTCTGCCCACTTTCTGGGCTCAGTGCAAGATTTGCTGGGTCACACTGGGCTGGATGTAAACATCTGTGAAAGGGGAGGAGGCCGCGCTCTGCTGCTGAGTCCAGGAGAACACCCACCACTGCAAAATGTATTGAAAAACCTGGAACCGATCACGGTGACAGCAGTGCTGTATCCCGCAGGTACGCCTGAGGGCTCTGTGCAAGTCCCAGCTCATGGAGCGTTTCCAAAATTGATGGTTACAAACTTCTGAATCTCTCAGGTACCAAAAATCCCAGCGGCATGTTTGGGAATCTGGAAAAAGTTGCTTTTTTTCACTAGTTTGGGTGAGCACCCACTGCCTGGTGTTCAAGAAAACAGTGAATTCATGCTTCTTGACCACAAACTATGCTCAGAGCGCTGCCCTTGCAGCGTTTACCAGGGAAATTGGGGTGACTTCCTGGGGATGCAAGAGGAACTTGCACTTATTTAGGTATATATACATTTGAGCACTTATGTCTAAAAATATTGCACTAGCTTCTTTGCCTACTAGCCCTTCTGTTGTGAAAGAAAAATAATTAGGCAAGCACAAACCCAGACTGAAATCTCAGAGGGAGAACTTAAAAATCGAAGCCTACGGCTTGCTGAGGGCAAGTGGAGCAGTCAGCTCTGGTGCAAAGGGAGTGCAAAGGGACGCTGTGGTTCAGGGACGAGGCGGGGGGAGAAAGATGGGCGAGGGTAAGATGATCCCTCCTATGGGGTCCATCTGAGAAGCCTAGAAAAAATGTAAACCCATCCCACCTGAGCTTTGTGCCATATCTTGAACTTGGCACACTTCTTCCAAAAGTCATTCAGCCTCTTTCTGGCAGCCTTTCTCTGGAGGAGTCAGAAAAAAGGTGCTTTTTGGTCATTCAGGAAGCCAGGGGCAGCTCTGCTCTGGGGCTGACACGTCCCAGTTCACAGTGTAAGCAGCACAGGAAATGCACTGGTCAGAAAAGTAGGGCAGGTCCGCTGCCTCTTGGCCTTTTATTTGCACGCAGGCTTTGGCAGGATGAGCTTCAGCAGCACCGTCCTGGGTTTTCCTCCAAGGAGGGGTGCTGGTGGCTCTGTGTGGTCTCCCCCACCAACTCCTGCCCTACTTCCCCAGGTTCACCATGGACTTCATGGGAACCAGGACCAGGGCAAGGCAGGTTGCTCCCATCTGAGCCCTGGGCAATCTCCAGAGCTCAAGTTCTGCCCTCAAGAGCTTTGCTACTAGTAGGGTATAATACCCCACCAAATGCCTCTGTTTTGATGGTCCCTGGTAGTGGATGAAGGGTAGATCAGACCAAAAGACTCCATGAAACGCCTCCTGGATGCCCTTATGGTGGTGGAACCTGTTCTCAGTCTGGTGCAGCCCAGTGTTGTTTTCTCAGACACATTCCAGGACCGCTTTGATCAAAGACCACATTTCCTGAAGGAGGCTTAGTGTCAGGCCATGCTGAAGAAATGCTGCATTCCCCAGGGCAGGCTTTGAGTTATTTTCCTCCATGGTGTTTTAACTGGAGCTTTTCTTAATGCTCACAGACACATCTGGATGGGAAGGAGGCCGTGGTGAGGCACCTACGGGCAAAGCTCCAAGGGAACAGGAAAGACCCTCCTGAAGTGGGTGGCTGGTTGGACGGTCGCTCCGCAGCATCCCCTGCAACAGAGCCGAGACAGATCCCCGTGCCGGGCTCCAAGGGTGAGCTGCCTCCAGAGCCCCCCCGGACCAGGAGGGTGGACTTCAGCAGGGCTTCTCCATCTCGCAGGAAAGGTCAGAGCGTGGGACAGCATTTGCCTCCTCATCCTGTCAGTGAGACCCCAGGATGGATGGTGCAACTGAAGAAGGGGATTGCTCAAGACGCCAGCTTCCACCCAGCCCCTGCAAAGCCAGGAGGAGGAGACGTGTTGAAAAAGGAGGTGGAAGCCACCTCTAATCCTTCCCAGGGAAACCCAGCCCAGCACACACGGTCACTCACCAAAGAGAAGAGTGCTCCAGCAGTTTCTGCCACAGGCGCAGCGTTTGCAGCCTCCCTGGACACTGCGGGAGGTGCCCATGGGACAAGGCACCCATCTCTGCCTCGGAGGAAGCCTTTGCCACACATCAGGGTGCTGGGAGCAAGGCCAGCCAAGCCCAGGCGCCCTCCTGTCGTGGATCTGGAGAAGTTTGGTGCAGCTGCACATCCTGGGACACCCAACCATCCTGCCACAGAGCCACCAAGGAGGGCTCAGCTGGGTATGGCCAGGCACATGCAGGTCCCCCAGAGAAGGATGCTGCTCGTTCAGGAAGGAAAATCTCCCCAGTTAGAGTATGGAGCTCCTGGGAGATGGAAATATTGAGGGGGCCGATGGAGAAGTGGGTGCTGGTAATGCAAAAGGGGCTTTACAGGCATAGCATGTGGAAAGGAATGAGAGAGAAGGACAGCAGGTGAAGAAATGAAAAGGACTAAGTGCCCTGTCCCTGGCTGCAGATAGGTATTGGGCTCTGGGGTTCTCGTAGGGGGGAGGGTTAGAGTCAGTAACAGGAGGGATGCTGACAGACTGGAGAGAGCCGAGTGCAGGGCACTGAGATGGCTGGGGGCTGGAGCCCGTGGGGAAGGAGAGCCTGAGACCCAGCCTTGTTTAGCCAGGAGGAGAGAGAGCGAAGGGGAGATGCTCTCACTGCCCGCAGCTACCTAATGGGAGAAGATGGACCCTTCCCAGAGGTGTCTGGGAGCAGGACCGGAGGCGACAGGCACGATCTGTAGTAGGGGAAATTCCCGTTAGCTATTACAAGTCTCTTTCCTGTGAGAGTGGTGCAGCCCCGCGGCCGGCACCAGGGCGATGGGTGTATCCATCCTTGGAGATACTCAGTTGTCACCTGGATGAGGCCCTAAACAGCCCGCTCTAGCTCTGAGGCCAGCCCTGCTCTGAGCAGGGGGTTGGACGAGAGACTCCAGAGGTCCTGTCCCACCAGTCCACCCTTGTGTGGCTGCAAGAGCAGAGAAGCCTGACTGGTGGGAAGCAGAGCTGGTCTCCATCCCACAGGCAAAAAGCACTCACACGCCCTTTGGCCAAGGGACAGAGTCTCTCTGAAGCTGGGAACACGTTGCCTACAACACCAACTGCCTCCAAGCCTGAGGGAGCCCCCGAGACCCCGCGGGCCCAGGCGGAGCTGTGGCCACGGGGGCCATGGTGCCGGCTCGGTGTGCCCTCCTCGCGGGCTGGCGGTGGGACGGAGGGCTTGCTGCCGCTTGGACGCGGCGGATCTCTGCTCAGCACGAGCCCTGCCACGCTCCACGGTGGCCTCCCAGATCTAGGCACGTTTGTTGGTTTCTAACAGCTGCCACTCTGCTAATCTACGCGCCGGGTGATGAAACGTGTTTCAAATCCCGTTTCTTGCTCAACTCTAAGATCCTGTTCACCCCCCTGTTTAGAGGATGGCTCATGCCATAGCCGCAGGGTAGAGGGCAATCGTGAGAGTAGAGACTCTGCCCTTCCATATGAGAACTGCAAAACCTAGCTGCTTTAGAAGACGCTGTTGTTGTGTTAGCACTCAGAGGCCTCCTTCAGGCCTGGCCATGCTGTTGTGCTGAGAGAAGCTCACGCACTGAGACCGGCCCCCGCCCTGGGCTGAGTGGCCCTGGCAGAGGAGATGGGGATCTGCTCTCTGTGTGTCCTGCAAATCAGCAGTTTTCAAGTATTTATTTGTCTCATGGGTACTGAGGCAAGTTTGAACATCTAGAATTACACCCCCACCCTGATTTGGTTATTGTTGTTAATTTTTAGGGCCTGGTATGCGATTGTGCATTACTCGGTACAATAACCCAGCAGAGCTGTGATGTAGATGGTGCCAGTTGATGGTTGGTGTGGCTGACCAGGCTGGTGACAGCCATGAGGCTTGTGATAAAAATAACAGGATCGCAGTAGGGATGTAGGCATGCCAGTGACTGTACAAGGTACAGCAGCAAGTTCTGGCTGATGATGCTCCTGAGCACATGGAGTTACCTGGGACTTGCCCTGACTCTGATACAGATCTGGAGTTCAGAGTTCTCACCACATTCAAAATGCCCATTTTGACCTCTTCCCCTCTTCTTTCATCGCTGGTCCAGGGAGAAAGTAACATTAGGGACATAAGAATGGGAAAATATATATTAAAGCTCCTCAGTGAGGTCCCTGATGAGCCGGGCCCCAGCGTGCTGGGAGGAAAGAAAATCCCCAGATGGGCCACGGAGTAAAACTCCTTGCCGGATCCAGATGTGCAGTCAGTTTTATCTCCTTGCACTAAATCTAGCCCAGGGCAGCTCTGGCCTCAGGGCGGGTGATAGAGTCGGGGAGAAAATGTGAAATAATCCCTCGCTGCTCCCTCCTGTTCTTTTTACCCTAGGTTGCCCGAAACCAGGCTACGTTACTTCAACCCCGGCACGCTTCCCGCCGCAGGATGCTCCGAGTGTAACGGGGTAAGGACCAAGGCAGCACTTCTATTCTAGGCGGCTTCCAGGCTGTCCCGACCCGGTGGGAAGGGCATGAGGGGCAGCAGCAAGAGGGTTCCTTGGGTTTTCCTGCCCAGTCCTGGAGCCCATCACGGGACAGCACCTTGTGCCGGCAGCTCCTGCAGTACGAAGGGCTGTCCTCCCCGAGCTGCGTTACTGCACCGCTCGGGCTGCTGCCAGCGCGCCCGGCCGCCCACCCCGCGCCCCAGCGCCGTGCCGCATTCCCGAGCCCTGGGGGGTGCTGGTGGCCTGTGGCACCGAGCTGCCGTCCCGCTCTGCCCCAGGGCCGGGGCCGGCCGCCTGCCTGCCGCCCGCCCTCCTCCTGCCCGACTCCATCCTGCCCGTGGCCCCGGTGCTGCTGCTGCAACAGGGCGTCCTAATCTCTGTCTGCGTCGTCGCAGGGCTGAAGATGAGATATACGATGACGTAGAGCCCGTTGGGCTGCTCAGGAGAGGCCAAGGCTTCCTGCTGCCTGCCGCGGCTCAGCCACCAGCGCGTCGCCGCCCCGGCGGAGGTGGGTACAGGAGGGGCTGGGATGCTGGTTGGGGCGAGCGCTGCAGCCCGGAGAGCCAGGAGGCTCCAGTGGTCTGTGGGCGGCAGCGGAGCCCGCACGGGGCCCACCACTCCCATGCATGGGAGGGCAATGGGTTCCTCTGCTGCCTTGTACATGGGCCTGGGAAACCCTGATCCCTGCCGTGCTCGGGGGAACATCTCGGGGGTTGGTCCCAGAGGAGAAAGCTCTTGCTGCTGTTTGTCTTGTCTCCTGTCTCAGTGGGTTTCTACACCTTGTAGCAGCCTCGCAGCAGCACCTCTCCTGGGGTTTGGTTTTACAGGTGGAGATGCTGGTCAAGACTCAAAGAGGGTTGCCTTGCTGGCAGCTGCACAGAGGTAACAGGGGTTTTTACTCTTTCTAATGGTCCCAAAATAGCCAGGGGTCCCCACCACTCTGACAAAACTTGCGGTTTCATGGTCTCTGTTGGGCTTGTGCTAGAAATATCCACGGTGAAGAGCACAAGCGGCAGGTTTAAACCTGGCCTGAGAGCCCCAGCAGCCCCAGAGCTGGTGCAGGGAAATGCGATGGGGCAGCATCTGGGGTGGGGGAGAGGGTGAGGGGAGGGAGCAGAGCGCGGGGTCATCTCAGCTCTTCTGTGACTCTCAACGACTCAGGAGAGAAGCCCAGGTCTCCTGCAAGATGAAGCCAATGACACTCAGAGAATGCAAGAAGGAAGAGAAGGCAGACAGGGAGTTTCAGAAGAAATTCAAGGTGAGCAGCAACAAGCAATTGCTTATCCCTCTAAGCCCCTCCTGGGAAGGGCACAATGTAAGGGCAGAGAGGAGCTGTGCTCTGCAGAAACCAGCCAATACTCAGGTCACACCTGCCCTATTCCCCACCGAAACGTCCCCAGATCAGACCAGTCCCACAGACCATTTGGCTAGAGAAGGATCTGCTTTTTCCAAGAAGGGAGAGTGGTTGGAGCTGCCCAGCTTACATTCCCCTGGGGCAGCTGCTGAGCCACAGCACTGCTGTTTGTGTTTCAGTTCGAAGGAAGCATCAATGTCCTGACCCAGATGATGGTTGACCCCGCAGCAACGGAGAAGAGGGGTGGAGGGAAGAACCTGCCTCTGAGACGAGGAGAAATTCTTGATGTCATTCAGTTTACAAATCAGGAGCAAATCCTCTGCCGAAACAGTCAGAGGAGGTGTAAGTCTGTGGGGGCTGAGGCTGTGCCTGCAGTGGAGATCGCAACACACAGTTTTAGGAACAATTTCTTCATTTACACACACCATGGTAGACAGCAGGTGACACCCCCTTGCTGTTAGACAGCCCCGACGTACCCTGGGTCTCAAATGTTCCCACTTCTCCTTGCACAAATGTCCTGGTCTTCCTCCCACTCGGCACCAGCATTTCTGCAGTTAGCTGGACTTGTTTTTTCCCTCTGCTACAAGCCTTCACAGTTCCAGGAGCCTCTCAACCACCAGCCTGGCATGACAGGCTTTGCTGCAGGCAGGGACTCCACAAACTACCTTTGCACTGAAGGACGATCAGGTGAAATGGGCTGCAGACCCCCAGGCAGAGAGACAGGGACCAGGCTCTTCCCAGCCAGCTGCCGCCCAGCCTGGCAGGCTCATTCCCTGCATTGCCCCAAGCAGATTCCTCCCAAGAGTTCAGCTCCCGGGCTTCTCCTCGCCCCCAGATCTCCCTGGGGATGCGAGATGTTGCTAAACCCTGCCTGGGCAGGGGCAGGTGCTGGGGTGAGACCCTGCTTGTGCCCCGGCTCCCAACAAAACCTGACCTGCTCTTCCTTGCTGTTGCAGATGGCTATGTGCCCCGGGCTGTGATGCTACACCTGTGAGTACACCTTCCCTGGCCCCTTCCTCCCCCCTCCATGAGCTGTAGCAATTCCCCGGCCATTGCCCGGCACCAAACCAGCCCTGGCCACTGAGTGCCAACCCAAAACCATCCAGTCCGGGCAGCGATCCTAAGCACACCACCAGCTAGTCACCCTGGGGGTGGAATCTGCCGTTTCTGGTCCCAGGAGAGGTTCTGGTACTGGGAGCAACGTCTTGGGGTGCTGTGAGCACTCCCCGAGCTGCGGTGCCTCATATGGGACCTGCCCAGACGCTGCTCAGACGCTGCCGGGGCGACGGGCCAGTGCTGCCCCTCTGCATGACGGGGTCTGGGGCTGCCAGCAGCCACCATCTGTGCGCAGTGCGAGAGGGGCCAGCGCCGTGCGCACCCCGTGCTGGGGGACCCCAGCTCTGCGGGGGGAGCACAAGGCTGGGCAGAAGTGAACAGGGCTGGGCGGTGGACGCCAGTGCCCATAGACATGTTAGGAGAGCCGGGACCGGTGCAGCAGCAGGAGATGGCCCTGGCCTTGGTATTGGGAGGTGGTGGGGATACGGGAGACCAGATTCTCACAGCACCCCTCCTTCTCCCTCGCAGGGACACTGACATCTACGACGATGTTGAGATTTACGGTACGTGCAGAGGGAGCTGCTGCCACAGCCCCTCCACCAAGTGCCAGGCACTGCTCCCTGGGATGGGCAGGCAGCAACGGTCCCTGCACCAGCCCCAGAGACTCCTCTCCTCCCCGCCTTGCCATTTCGCCACCGTCCCTCTCTCCCTTCTCTCTCTGTGATTCTTCTCCCTCTCTCTGGGACATCCCTTCCTTTCTCTCAGTTCCCCACAGGGCCTCATGTTCCTCTGTTCCCAATTATTTGGACTTCCCCGAACCCTTTCCCTTCTCAGCTTGCACCCTCCACTTGCTGCGAGCCCCAGGGACCCTTTGATGTCCTTTGAGATGTCCTTGATCCCCCAGACAACCAGGGATGCCCTTTCCCGAGCAGTTGCTCACTTCCAGAATGCAAACTCTATTCTCTGGCTCACAGAAGGCTCTGAAGACGAACCTGGATAGAGACAACTGTATTTTAGCTGTGCTGGTGAGCAAACATTCTATCTAATTCTGTCTGGCAGGTTGAGCAATCCATGCTGAAGCCAAAGGCTCAAGACAGCACCAATGGGCACTTCCCCAAGGGCCAAACCATGAAAAGCACTGTATGCCACACTCCTGCTTTGGGAGGAGCTCTGCCTCCTCTGAGATCCCAGTTTACGACAGCTCCATGTCCCTGCCAAAACAGTGGCCGGGCTCATGCTGCGGGGCTGCAAAGATCCTGTCCCACAGGGGCAGGGGGTTCAAAGACATCCTCGAGTCAAACCTTCCCTGTGGCTTTGTTTTGTCTGTGTAAAATCTGGTAACGGTTTGCGAGCGTTTTGTGGTCTTATTTGTGGGTGGGCGGTTTAAAATCTGGGCTGGAGAGGTTTTACTACTTCCCCATTCCCAGAGCAACCTCAGCCTGGGAAAAGCACTGTATCCCTAAACCCATACACCCCATCCTTCGGCTGCTGTACCGCTCTCCTGCCCCACTGAGACTCTTGGCCTGAGTCAGAGTCAAACTGGACATAGAAATACTCTGGACTATTGTGGGCAACAACGATTGCTGAGCAGGCATCCCAACAGCACGCCGCAGCCTTGAGGCAGCCTCTCTGCAGAGCTGGCAGGGGCGGTCTCAGATCTGTTGGGGTCGATATTCCTGTGGGTACATTCGGCACCACTCGGACTGACGGTCTGCAGGTGGCCACAGGAGATTCCTCGATTAACTGGGAGACAGCCTTCCTTTGCAAGCTCTGCCCTCACCAAGCCCTTACAGATGTGGGGTACGAAGGGGGTGCGCTCGCAGCCGGTGGGAGCACAAATCCTGTGGCAGCCTCTAGCAGCAGGACCCAGATAATTTTGGATCAGGAACCACGCTGGGAAGGGAGCTCTGGGGCTGGAGCCCTGCCCTCGGCCTGCAGCACGGCCCCGATCGCGGGGGGGGGGGGGGGTTAACCTGGGAGGGCAGTATGCCAAGCCCAGATTAACCAGCTTGAAGACGTCACTTTCCCTTACGGGAAAGGCTCCCAAATAGCCCTGAAGTTTTTGGTGCTGGGAATTGGCCACCGGCGTGCTTGGCTCCCAGCAAGGGGCAGGGGGCTGTGGGCGCAGCGGTGCCCCGGGCGATGAGCGGGGCTGGGAGCGGCTCCCAGGGGCATCGCCGGGGGGGCTGAGGATGAGCACGTGGGAGCGGGTCAGGAGAGCTTTGCTGAACTCACTGTCCACAACTTTCCGCCGCGTCTGGAAGTGGGTATGGACTTTCTGGTGTAAAAATGGCCTCTCGACCTTATCGATGCTGTCGGTTGCCACCGGGTGCCTCCTGGGGCTCCTGCTGCGGGCGCTGGAGCTGACGGAGCTGGGAAGCCTGGCTGGGACCGGGATGGGAGTGAGGGGGATGGAGCCGAGCAGTTGGGGCACCCAGCACTTGTGCCGACAAGACATCACCGTCACGGGCCCAGATAGGCACAGCCCCCAGGAGCAAAGGCTCCTGCCTAAGGAAACCACCTCTCACAACAGGTTTCTCCCCATGGTTTTTCTTTTTTTTTTTTTTCTTTCAACCGAAAAACTGCCAACAGATGCCAAAGCTGCAGGACAAATCCTGCCTCCCTCCACCGGGAGTGGGGGGCTCTGGGATGGACCTTGTGGGACTGCAGGAGACTCCAGGTGTGGTGGGGATGGGGAGGGAGGGGAGGGATGCTCAGCTGCTAGGAGCTCAGTAACGGGCTCTCTCCAACACAAACAGCGGCGCTGGCGATCGAGGGATGAGCTCCTCCAGTTACTCTGACCAAAGGCCGCGCAGATGCTCACATTTCCACTCTCCGGAGAAGGCCCAGCAAATCAATACGGCACTGGTGGGGAGCCTGGGGGCCTTCCAGGGGTCCCCTTCCTCTGAGGCCCCTTGGAGACAAATGCATTGGAGAAAATGCACCTAAAAGGCGCGTTTGCTCAGCGCTTGTGCAGTCACACATCACCGTGCTGAAATCCATGCGGCTTTAATGACGTCGGGCGTCTTGCCTGTGGCTCAGGCTGGATCTCTGGCCAGGCTGGAGGGGGGGTGCTGCTTCAGGGGGAGCTCGGCTGGGGCTGGAACATCCCCGTGTCACCCGCCGGGATTTAGCGAAGTCTTGTTACTTCAATTACGCCCTTCAGCATCCCCACCCGCAGCGGGGATGATGTCATTACTTAACTGAAACCGTGTGTAATCTCCCTGTTCAGAGCCCAGCTGCCTGCACCAGGCTGGAGGCCGGTAGAGCCTGGGCTCTTCTGCCCCTTGTCCTGCCATACAAGTTCACCCATCCTCTGCCCCAGTCCTGTCCTGCTCTGTTACCACAGCCCTGCACGTGGTCCCCAGCTGCCACTTCTCCCCCTTAGAGGCTTTTGTCCCCAAACCCAGGCCCCCGATGAGGGGCTGGGGAAGGAGCCAGCCCCTGCTTTCCTCCCTGTGATGTGGAAGAGTCACAAAGCTGAGAAACCCAATGACAAAAGAGATGTTCAAATCTGCTATTGCTCCTTGCACCCAGCTGGCCCTGTCGTAGCAGTGATCCCCAGGGAAATCGGTCATGTTTAGGCCACACAGGTGGGTTAGCACAGAGACAGCACGGTGCATCATTTATTTTAACAGTTTGCCTTGGCATCCCTCAAAATCCAGTGGTGTTGGCTACTTTGGAGTAACCAAAAGCACCTGTGGGGCTTGGGGCCATCTCAGATCCACCCCTGACACCTCTACAGTGGCACAGTGAAAGACTGGGGGGCAGGGAGGGAAGATGGATGGATGGATGGATGGATGGATGGATGGATGGATGGATGGATGGATGGATGGAGTGAGGCATGGAGGGATGGAGGCATGGAAGGAACTCGGCAGAGAGAAGGGTGGTGGAGGGAGGGAGGGAGGGAGGGAGGGAGGGAGCTGGTCAGGTCGCTGCTGGTCTTGCAGACCTCTCGCTCTTCCCTTGGTCACAGCTGTGGGATCTGGGCTTTGGGGGTCCCTCTCCAGGCAGCCCACCCCCATGCCGACGTGAGGAGTGCAGGGAGGAGACAGAGGCCACAGGGTGAAAAACCTCCCTCTGCACCACGAGGCTGTGCCACAGCTGGGCCAGGTACTTGGGCTTTCCCTGAGCTTGGCTTCGCCCTCTGCAGCCAAAAGGTATTTCCACCTTTTCCTGCCAGCACCAGGCTGCACCCAACAGCTTCAGAGCACTTCTGCATGTGCAGCCGAGTCTCTGCTCCTCAGTAACAAGTGCAGTGACGTTTGGGAGGAGCCAGTGGTGGGACACGGGGGCCAGTCCCTAGGGGGAAACGGACCCAAGGATGTTCTGGGGAGAGGATCACCCCTACGTGTCCCTCTCCAGCTCACACTGGGTTTCCCACATGGCCAGTATTTCCCATCCCTGGCCCAGCTCCCAGTAAGGGACAGACTGAGGAAGAGCATCTCCGAGTGCCACAAGGAACGGCGGCTGGCTGGGAGCCAAGCTCAGAGCTTGGTCTGCTTGGGAAGAAGGCAAATTTATCAGGTTTGAGCCCTTAACCCACAAGCAGCATCCACTTCTCAGCTCTAACCCGACACAATGGCTCTGCTCAATGTGCAGGAGAAGCAGGACTTTGTATCAAGTCTGACCTGCTCAGAGCTTGCCCAGTGAAACCCATTCTGCGCCCACCAGAGCCTGGAGACACTCGGCACGACCCAGGCTGCTCCCGTGGTACTACTGAGCAATAAAAACCAACGTGCCTGGCGGCAGGACTGCTCCTGGGAGAAACGGGTGAGCGAGGAACACCGCTCGTTAACGTGCCAGTGTCGGAGTGAAGCCGTGATGAAAATTGTCTCGCTGGCAGTTTGGTAAATCTGGTTTTGATTGATTCAATTATTTTCTTACTTGCTATCTAACGGTAACGCTGGCCATACGTCTACAAGTATCTATTGTGAGTGCTGGATTTGTTTTTGTATGACTACCACAGGGTACCAAATACTGTAAGGACTGTCATGTAGTGCTTCAATGATAGCTGCATCCTCATAAATATTTTTTTATGCTTTTTCCGTGCAGGTACTTGTATTTCTCATTGCTGGAAAGATCCTGGAGACGGAAGATCCATCAGTTCTGGGTCAGAAGCTGGGACTATATGCCATTACAGTAAAGTCAGGGCTAGCCATTCACGGACTTGTTCTCTTACCTCTGCTTTTTGTGCTCATCACCAAGAAAAACCCTTTTGCTTTCATTCAGGGGATACTACAAGCCTTGTGGATGGCCTTCGCTGCATCCTCCAGGTCTGAAAACATGGCTGAAATATGCTGATACAGCTGAGCAGCATCTGGTTTGGTCGAGGGAGATGTGGCTGCGAGCAGTGCCAGGCGAGCTGGGGGGGAACAGCTGTAATTCAGACAAAGAAAAGTTATGCTCCAGCACTATTTGGAAGGAGATTGCTTGCAGTTTGTTGTGGTTTGGGCCTGGTTGGCAGCCAACCACAATGCAGCAGCTCTCTCTCCCTTCCCCTCCGGCAATGAGAAGGGACAGAGAGCCAGGCTTGGGGTTCGAGATAGGACTGGGATGGGGAAAAATCCCCCTTTTATGATCACGAGCAAAAGGCAGACTCGTTAGGGGAAGGAAAACAAGAACATACATTTATTACAGACACTAACAACACATAACAGAGTAGGACAGTGGGAAGCATTGCCACATCTTGAGAACACCTTCCCCCCACCCCTCCCTTCTTCCCGGGCTCAGCTCTGCTCCCGATATCTCTACCTCCTCCCCCAGTGGCGCAGGGGCAGGGAATGGGGGGTGCAGGCAGCGCTGCCACTTCCTTCATCTTCGGTGAGGGGAGTGTCCGAAACTTGTTCCCCCTGCTCCATCGTGGTCCCCCTCTCACAGGAGACAGTCCTCTACAAGCTTTCTCTGACATGAGTCCCTCCCATGGGCCGCAGCGTTCCCCACACTGCTCCGTCATGGGTCACCAACTTCCTCCGACTGGATTCCCTCCCACGGCTGCAGCCCTTCCCGAGCTGCTCCGGCGTGGGGCTCCCCCCCATGCTGCAATCCTCCCAGCACTGAATTACAGCAGCGGGGCTGCCTTTTCCCATGAGACCCCGGCCTTCTTCGGACACAGAACCTTGATCACGCAAGCAGGAGCCACAGGCCATAAATCAGTGTCTGCTCCACCGTAGACCTCCATGGGTGGCGGGGGGGGGCCGCCCTGCCGTCTCCCCACAGGATACAGGGGGGTCTCTGCTCCGGCACACCTCCCCCCTCCTTTCTTCCTCCGTTCCACCACTGACCTTGGTGTTCATGCAGCTGCAGCAACTCCTCCTCACAAGTCCCACTGCCCGTCACCACGTCT